TTACGGAGTGAAATTGACACCCGTGGAAGTTTGTACGTATTTCGTTCGCACGTATTTCGTCCATAAATAAAACATTTGTGGACGAAATACGAGCGTGCATTCTCATTCGAAGTTCAAAGATAAAAATGGATAGTTCGACGGACCAATTAAAATTTCGGAATATCTCACAAAGTTTTCCAATATGGTAGCCTCGCTTTCGGAGTGACGAAGCCTAATAAGTGTTATTTAAATTTTATAACGCAGAGTACTTTAATTATTTTTATCCCAGAGGGCCTTCATTACTTATGTAATACGAGTAGTTGGAAAATTTACACAAATATTTTTTTTTTTATTTAAGACACACCAACAGTATACATATTTACACAACTTACAAAAAAGGAAAAAATAAGAAAACATTGGACCTAATATGTACACCTATAACAGGTGTGTACAACATTTGCAATATTGTGACAAAGATTAATAAACAAAAAAAACTAATTCATAAAATTTAAATACAAAGAATAGACTAACAAAAAAGAATGAAAAATAATTAAAAAATAAATTCACTTTAAAGAATACTATACTATAATACATACTAATGAAATGACTCCAGTACTTTCTTTTTATAAACATAATTCGAAATTTTCTCTTTCTTATTAATTATCTATGATATTTAACTAACTTCTAAGACTCGTCTACAAGTACCACGGTCTCACAGAAGACCAGTGTGATGCGGCAATATTACTTGAGTTACGTCTATCTAGGTCCACTGTTTTAGGTTTGACAACGCAGCTTTAGAGGTATTTTAGATGTTCATGGGCTGTGGTAAAAACTTAACACTACAACCACACAAACACGGCGAAAGCAACACAAGTGAACAGCGGTAAGAATCACCCTGGCCTTCAATTACTGATGACTCCGTGGCGCAGTTGCCAAGTGATTGTGGGTTCAGTTCCCACACGGGACAACTGTTTGTGCGACCCACAGATAGTTGTTTCGCATCTGGGTGTTTGTCCGCGGGAAATTTATGTTTGTAAAAACGTCCTTACAACACAGGATAATGTTATCCTAAAGTGAGGGCAATGTTTAATAAAAATGAAGAAGAAGTATCAAGAAGAATTAATACAGTCAATGGACATTGGGATTATCGTATGTATGGATGAACCTCGTAGGTAACATATTTCCCGATTAAGATAACGCACGCAAAAGCACACGAGCGGCCGTACCCAATGTCAACCGACCGAAAAAGTGGTACAGATTGTCAATTTCTCTCTATCAAATAATCTGTCTTCCCCACGAGTTCTGCTTTTGATGAAGCTTTAATAGTTTACGAACTTAAAGCAAAAGCATCAGTTAAAATTAAAAAATGTGTATTACATTTATATCGATCAATAATGTTCAATCTGCAAAAAACTAGGAGTAGTAGGTACTTAACTTTACAATAATTTTAACTTAAAAAATAACGTGATTCAGTTAACCAAGGCCAAATAGTGTACTAATGCTAATGGTAAATTATGTAAGCAAATTGTCTTTGTTTTTATAACGAAATGGGTACTGTAAAGTTACATCGAAATTACAAAAAAACTTACGCAACAATTTTCACGACTACGTAATTAATAAATTAATGAAAATCCACTCACTGCCACTGTTCCTGTTCGTGACTCAAATGTGAATGCGATTATAATAACCTGTACATCATACCAAGATCGTATTTGAGAAGGTCTAACTACCACGGTCCATGAGATACAGCCTGCTGACAGACGGACAGTCAGACATAAAGCGGAGTCTGAGTAATACAAAACTCTAAAAATTAAAGGTTGAACTACCAGCCTTTTACTGCAATCCGGAAACCTAGTAACAGTACTTTTAATTATCAACATTGCTGATGATTCCTCGACATAATGTACAAAACACAATGAAAACATTAACAACAACAATGCATAACAATTAGGAATAAAATTAATAACGTCAAGCAATCACAAAAATTTGCATACACACGCAACACTGACAAGAAAAGAAGCAACGAACAATATAAAAACTTACATGATTTGATTGATAGACACTGTTCAGAGCACTGTGCCAGGGCCACAGAGTTGGGCGCCAGTAAATTCTTGATATCTGCTAAACAGAGGTAGGTACGTTTCTCAACGACCATACAGTTCTTAATTCATACATACACCTACTTTTTCAATTTATTTCAAGTGTTGTATACTACGCTTAACTGTGATAGGGCCACGGCTGTTGCACGAATGGGCAGCCTCGTCCGGGTAAGTACCACGACCTCACAGAAGACCCGCCGGTCTTCTGTGAGGTGGTTTACGCCTAAAGTGGAAGTATAACAAATACTTTCGCGTTTCGTCTGGTGAGAGAGGTAGCCGGAGACCAATCTGCGACCCTCGGGTATAGCAGATGTCCATGGGCGGCGGACTTAACATCAGGTGAACCGCCTGCTCGATTGACAACTTGTCAAAAAACTTAAATTAAACTTAAAATATTAGATATGTATATCGTCGAAAAAGTTTCTAGTACAGCCCAGATTTAAACTTGCGCATTTTGCTTGATGAAATAAACTTTCACTATTCAAAGATATATAGATAATGACGGAGAAATGTTTAACTAGTATCTTCGTACATTAAGCCACTTATTATCGTTCTTAGTAACGTTGCTTTGAGCCAGTTAATGATAAATGTATTTTACAAGGCCTTCTTTGAGAAGTCTGAGACATGATACACCTTTCCACAGTACCATGAAATCATTTGCTCTATGCTGAATAGATTACGGAACTAAATTGACATCCAGTGGTTGTCGCATTTTGTTTGTGGATATACGAGCGTCCATTCCTCATTCGGAATCCTGGGACAAAGTTGGACCGTTAGACGGACCAATTAAAATTTCGGAATGCGATATGGAGTTATATAATTGAGAGCGTGCTGCTGTCCCTACCCTAAGGAACGTTAGGGTTTTTTTTTTTGTTAAATTTGATAACGTTGATCAACTCGTTAGCTTTTAAGCTTGTCATATTAACTCCTACTTCCCTATGATATCCTTTTGATTCATAAAATTTATTATTTCCACATGTTACAAAATGCAACGTAGAGTTGTATTTTTATATAAATATTTTAATGTGTAAAAGTGTTTAGTAAGAATAATTTCTGGAAGTCATATTACATCGTAGGAGCTTACGCTTCCCGTATTATCGTATATAAGAATGGCTTATTAAAACTTATAAGATAGAAGAAGAATATTAAATTGGTGACTAGATTTATTACGTTTAATTAAACGTAAATTCTCCAATTTTTTAACCCGTACACATGTTAAAATGCTATTACATTTCCAAAACCCCTGGTTTTATTACATATATTTCTTTTTAATTCGATTACAATCCATTACCGGAACCTAAGCGCTTAACATTCTTTTTCTTCTTTTCAACTGTTTCAAGATGAACGTAGATTTACTTACCAGGTAACTTAGCAATCGAAAGATTGACAAAAGTTACATATATTCATCATACACCTTCGCCTCGAAACGCAATTCCCATAAATACGATTATCCCGTTTAAAACGCGTTCAATTATTCCACAAACGCCTGTTCACACCGTGTAAATTCGCTTTACCGATTACAACATTCACAGAGGAAAGTGCGCACTTACCGACAACAACTTTAATTGGAACACGCTGACATTTTCCCTTTTCGAACGCAGTAAACGAGAGCAAAAGTCGAGAGGTGATTATGATAAGGAAGCATATTTCGAGGCTGTTTTGTGAAAAAATATCCTTACCTACACAACCAGAATCAAATCCTAAGTATATTCTTGTTTGTATAACACCGGACCTTCAGGAAAAGTTCTTTTATTCTTAACAAAATATTTAAAAAAAATTAAGATAAGGGATATTTAATAGTAATGTACGCATTTTTTTGTTCATAATCTGGAAGTGACGAGCTTTAGATAGATGTGTTAGCTGATATAATATAATAAGTGACATCCAAAAACAACCAAGTTTAAACAATTTCAAACACTTTGTAAAAGCTACCTATAGCCAGTAAGGTGTAGATAGTAAAGGGCCTATAGCTTTTAAGTTGGATTACATATAGGCTATTATTTATGGCATCTAATTCACAGTTCCTATGTGAGAGCCACCAATGGCACGAGAGTTATCAAATATTATTTTAGTATTATTATTTATATTACATGAAAATGATGCGAGTTTTTCGCCAAATTTATTATTAACGTGATATTATCACTACATAGTATGAAACAAAGTCGACCCGCTGTCCGTCTGTCCATATCTATGCATAGATCTTAAAAACTACGCAACGGATCTTGATGCGGATTTTTTACTAGATAGAGTGATTCAGGAGGAAGGTTTATCTATAGTATACATTGCACCTGTGCGAATCCGCGGCGGGTCGCTAGTTATTATTAAAATTAAAAAACACATAGTCCTTTGACCTAAACACTTCACGGTTCTTTTAAATTCTCAAAATTTTGACGGATGACAAATCTACAAATATGTTTTAAAGCGTAGGTAATTGTTGGAAAAAAAATTCCCTTATTTTAAAAATAAATATTTTTGTTTAAAAATATTTGTATAAATACAAAAACAGTTTCAACGCTCATAGTAAAAAATGTGCACCTAAACAACACAAATTAAGTACCACCATAAAGAAACTGTAAGCTCTAATTAAATAAAACGTCTAGACACAGACTAGACAAGCAAGAGATTAGGTTTTATTTGCAATTAAATAATTAGTGTGTCTTTGCATGTACCATTTTTGTTCACAGCAGAAGAAATGGGTAACCAAGATAATGCAAAACTATGATAACTTTTACTAAAACATTTCTATCTATAAAATAAGAGAGAATATATTCAAACAATTTTTATTAACAACAATAATAACACTTAATAACAAGGAATAATATTAACAACATCAAACACTCACAACGAATACACAACAACATTCAGCACACGCATACGCACACACAACAACAACAGAATTAGCAAGGCACAAACAACAATTTATATCTTATGGGATCCCTTCTTCGTGTGGATGACGGTCTCGTAGACGGGCACTTTGAACGGGAATGGCTTCTCGACTGGCACCAAAATATGCTTCACGACCTCAAATGGGACCTCCTTTATCTTCGGTACGTGCACCGTCTTCTCTACAGGGTACGGTACCGATTTCTCGACCGGTATCGACACCTCCTTTATAATAGGGATGACGACGGCTTTAGGTACGGGCACTTGAATGGGCACGGGATGCGGTACGGGGATCAGCACGGGCTGGTTGATCTTGAACTCAACATTCTTCGGTATTGGCACAACCACCTCCTTGTAATGTTTGATCGGCTCGGGGTTCTCTTCCTCGACGTGCTGGTGCACTGGGTAGGAGTGCGATTGGAGGTCGTGCCCGCCGAAGTCCTGGCTGAGGTCGCCGTGGTCTCCCAGGGAGCTGGCTCCGTGTCCACCGTAGTCGAAGCCGGAATGTTCGCTCGGCTGTACCTGGTAAGGAGAGAGAGGCATTGTATAGATCTCGTTTTTAAATTACATTAATACCCCCGCTTACACCACCTTTTTTTATATTCTTTTATATTCTCCTCTATTCGTATTTTGTGTGAACGCAGCGCAGTTCAATTGAAAAAAGGTTAACAATTTTGGAAAGCATAGACTCCCAACGAAGAGCGTATTTCTGTTACAAAACAAGGAATGAAAACATTACTAGCATGCTACGAGGAGATAATTATTACGGGAGAAGCAAAAATCATTGACTCGTTCTGACAAATCGACGACTTTGTTAGGTTTTATGAAATCTTCTACGTCATAATAACTTCGGATTGTGTTTATGCAGCTTACGATAATATAGTTTGTAATATTATCAACAATTAATTATACATTTATTTCCTAAATTATTGTTTTAATTAGTCTCTGGTCCCAATTAAACACTCTTTGTATGTCTTTACATGCAAAATTGTACCCCGACTTACTCGAATTCGACTTACAACGATAGCGCTCTGGAATAGCCGGATAGCGTAAGTCCGGATATTACTGTATTACCTTTTATTTTTATTAACAGTAGGTCTATAAAAGGAATTTAGACAATAGCCCACAGATAACTGTTCGGATACATCAGTATAATTATAACACGAATGTTACTAATGTTTATTTTAAGATGAAAATGAAAAGAAGACATCTCAGCTTTCCGTGTCTGACGTCTGTATCTAAGAAACATTTTGAAATCTCTTACATAATTTATGTTTGGCAATGTTTAAATTGACTCGTTTTTGAAGCGATTTCCTTAGTAATATTGCATTAATTTTACAACAAAAACGTTACTTCTCTCTTTGTTGAGTTATTTATTTAATAAATCTCAGTTCGATAAATTGTCACTTTACATTATTCCCCACTGAAAATATTGGTATGATCCATGATATAACTTTTAAATTTGTTCTTACAAATACATGATACCTACAGTTGCGAGTAAATAATTACCAGTGCAACAAAATTTCAATTTGAAAGTTTCAAAGCCAAACGTGCTGACCTTTCGGGTGCGGTTATACTGACGAGAGCGCGAAGGAAGTTAAAAATATTTTTAAGCCGCGGGGAAAAAAGTATGAGATTTTTTTTTTTTGAAAATTTTTATGACACGCCCGCACATTTCTTCGTTATGTGAGAAGGTGGCAAGCGAGCTGGCGGTTCACCTGATAAAGTGATAACCGCCGCCCATGGACATTTGACACATCATCCCTACATCCGTAGGGTTGCAGATGTCAGCCCTGTAGTCCCGGGCTCATAGAATAGGACTAAGGTATCTCCTGCCTGTCGTAAAGGTGACTAAAAGGGGATACGGATATGCAGCAGCTCGAAGTGGCCTCAAGCTGCTGCAGGATGGCGAGGGCATTGGGGAAGTTTACCCTTCTCCGAGGCGTGCTCACGCCCAGTACCGAGGGACACCGGTGCGTTCCATAGGAGATCCCGGAGTACCTCCAAACGTACAGAAGATGGCCACAGAGGGGGTTTTAGTGGGTAAGAACCCCACATAACCCTGTCATGTAAGATGACCAAATGTTTTGAAAATTTCCCCCCCGATACCAAAAAAATGGGGTTGCAGATGTGTTGCCACCTTGTAATAAAGTGGGCCCCGGCTACCTCACTCACCGTGCGAAACGCAAAAGTAAATAGGAAACGCAGAAGCCTCTCAATACATTTTGTAGAATAATCTTAAAACAACTTTAACTAACTGTAGAATAATCTAATCAGCGTGTTAATCTGAATCCGCTCCCGCTTCCGCCCCCACGCCAACCGCACCACGGATCTAGTTCCGCGAAACGTTGAAAAAGCAAAACGACGATCCACCGACGCACAGTTAACCGTCCCGCAGTTAGTTTTTCTACTCCGACCGTACTGTTCTATTTTTAACCGTTATTCAATGACTTGTGTAACAGTAACGGCCCGATGGAAAAATTTAACCGCATAACGGGTTTATAAACTAACGTAGAACAATCGGTGAAATCACGCCAAATACAGAATAGAAGCTTTCATATAGATAAACTAGCTGACCAGGCAAACGTTGTTTTGCCATGTAAATTATTTGTGGGGTAGAAAAATGTTTGGGGAGGACAACCCTTATCACTTAGGGGTATAAAAAACCTATCCCTTTACCTACTGAATCTTTCTTCTCTTCTTAGTGGTTCCCTTACTCCTGAAGATCGTGACTCATGTTTATTAACTAATTAACATAAAATTAACCTACTGAATATACATATAAAATTTCATCCAAATCGGTCAAGCCGTTTCGGAGGAGTATAAACACTAAAACTGTGACACAAGAATTTTATATATTAGAGAGAGAAAAAAGATGTGATAATTTAGATGTGGCAACAGTTCCTGTGTATTCACAGGATAGTTTTAGGATTGATCTAACAGTCAATGAAATATATGATTACTATGACAGATCCTTTTGCTGTAAACAATGGGTTTACCACAGCCACTTGTAAGGACATGGTTGAAATATTCATCGATTTATTTAGCATAAAATTTAAATATGTTATTACTCTTGTCTTATGTATTGCATTTATAAGATATGTTTAATGTTAATTAGCGATGGCTAAGCTTTAGTAGTAGTGCTGGGACGACGGATGCAATCCTAAGAACACAATTTTTTTCATGTGAGAAGGTGGCAAACGAGCCCGCCGCCCATGGTCATTGCAACGCCCGTAGGAATGCAGTTGCACAATGTCACACGCTTACATTTATAAAAAAAATTGGGTATGTGATAAACGCAAAAATTTAATACAAGTTTAGACCATGGATTTAGGATTTAATAAAAATGTCTAATAGATATGGACCTTTTTATTGTGAAGTTAAAAGAATATAGTTAATTATCTTTAAAGGTTGCAATGTAATGCAACCTTTAAATTATCCTATTACCTATATATAATTTATATAAGTACCTATATAATGATATTTTTCAGGTTTTATCATTAAAAAAATAAAATTTTAAATTTTTAGTTCCATGACAAGAACACAATAAAAGCTTGTTTTTAAAACTAATTCTTTACGTGCGCGAATCAACTACACGGGGGCCCATTTTAACGCTCACTTTTATAACAATCACGTTAATTTCAACTCAGGTTGCTCGAGTACACTAAATGAAAAGCGTGCGCCCGGACACTGAGCTATCACGGCCCCCAGTGTAAATAACAAAATTTAATATGGCAACTGCGTTATCTCCAACGATCCGGTCGGCCGTGAGCGAATTAAAGCTGGATAGCATCCAGGTGGGCTGTCGGCTTTACAATAAAACAGAAATATAGGCTGCCGAGGCCGCAACCCCACTTTATGACCTTTTATTACTTTCTGTTTGCGGGGGGAAAATATTACGATTCTCCGTTTTTCGGGGTTCGGCGGGACGGTCGGTGGAACGCAATATGATTTAACGAGAAAGGACCTACCTTTTCGACCGACGTCTAAAAGGAGATTCAAAATTTGGTGGTACTCGTGTTTGTTACTTCTGAACTCGGTCTTTTACGAAACGATTTAGAAAATTATGTTTACCCGAGGCTCCGTGCATCTCCGTTATAATTTCATTGTTATTGGACTTTGGTTGGTGTGGTACCATTCGTGCAACAGTCTTCACTGTCGCACGAATGGTACCACGACCTCACTGATGACGAGCGTGAGGTGGAAGTTATGCTACTGCGTTTCGTCTGGTGGGCGATTTGGCCGGGGTCCAGTTTATTAAAAGGTAGCAACGCATCTGTTGGCTCTGGCAATACTGTATACCGGATATGACGATATCTAATTGAGCCAAGGGAACATGGTCGCATAGAGGAGTGGTCACTTGCATTTCGACTGCGTTCCCGGACGGTGATATAACCACTAGTGCTGCTTGTCGTTATAATAGTTGTTAATATTCAAGTTCAGTAATACTTAAAATATTAGGTTCAAGGTAAAAACGTTAGAACTCTTATACATCTGCCACGCTATGGGTGGTAATAGTGTCACTGAGCGGCGTTTATCGCTTAACATCAGGCGAACCAACAGCTCGCTTGACACCATCTCACTTAAATAAAACACCACTAGCGACAACCGATTCCTTAAAGCGGTACAAAGCGGTCGAATAAAGCGGTTAAGTAAAGTAACTGTCTATATAAGTCCCAATGCTGGGCAAAGGCTTCGTCTGTACAGTGGGTATAAGTGGACGGACCACTGTATGAACTCAAGAAATCATTATATAACAAATTTTGTTGAATACTTATATAACTTTACACATCTTAACCGAAAAGAATATTTCTTTTTTCGAGTAAGATGTGTAAAGTAATAAATTTAATTTTAAGCTATTATTTCACATGATAAACCGTCAATTTTTTTACGCCCCAATGAGATAGGAACGAATGACCTATGATAGTGAACCGACTTTGCCAGCAACAGAGCTACGGCTGTTTGCCAAATGTACAATACGTTTGAATACTAGTATAGAAAACGTAGTACGTAATTGACACACAATGGACGATGACGAAAGTCGATTGTACAATTGATTCAATAACAATATCTTTTATTTACGCGAATCCATCACCAAATATAACTGTTTTACTGGATATATCGCGTTTATATTGTTTTATACTGCAGTCTTCTTAAAGCAATTTTTTTAAATTACTTCCAGCAAGTCTTATATATTGATTTCGGTCTCATGCCCGGTTTCTGAAACACTGATCATCATAGATTTTAACTAATCAACTGTCAAATGGCTATTCAGATGCTATTTAAGTTGCCAAAAGGATGGCTAAACTCTCTGAATTCTTAATGATCAGAATGATCAATTCAAACAAAAGCTCTGCACAACACTGAGTCACTCAGTGCGAAACAATTTCCTTTTATTTATACTTTTTAATGTTAATAAGCAGGATTCTTTTTAAAAATTGGAACTATGTGTAACTATGGTAGGGCCACGCAGGTGCCGCGGCCCACTATATTAAAAGGTGGCAACGCATCTGCAACCCTACGGCTGTTGCAAATGTTAATGGGCGAACCACCAGTTCGTTTGCCACCTTCTCACATAAAAAAATTGTTTACTTCCAACTTTTTAAAGATTAAAACAAGTTTTTATTCACATACAGAACCGCTATTGGAGATAACGCATCCCGACTGCTATCCTAACACAGGTGGCGTTGAATATCTTGATTTTTTAATGCGCACCGACATATATATTTATTTTACGAGGCCGCATCGAGGCTTCTGTTATGTGTTTCGCTTATATCCAACATTTACAATGACAGTGAGTAGCTATGCGTTGGTTTTCTTTTACGAAGATACACTAAAATCGATTCCCACAATAATAAATGATTCCAACAAGTACTTATTCTTTCTTCTCAATATATTATATACAAGTATTTGTTTTGTGCTTGTGGGAATCGAACACATTATCTCCGGTGCCGAAGCCAATAGCTCAGCAATTGCGCCACCGAATCATTTAATCAGATTTTAACAAGAACTATCGCAATTAATGTTAAACTTATGTACACGATTGTTATAAAAAGAACAGAGGCACATCTTGCGAGTGAAACGGTTTATATGATAAATTAACTAAACATTACAAACTTACATTTTGAAAGTGTTATTGTTATTACTATGAAATAGCATGACGGGTAAGGGATATAATGTATTACCGACAAAAATGGCGCTTTTTATCCAGTAGAATATATTATGTATGTATCACAGTTCACGCGGACCAAACCGCGATCAAAGTTAGTAGAAGTTAAGTTAATGAAACAACAATTATATAGAAAATTCGCAAAAAGTCCAGCACTTGTAAGTAAATATTGTTAGCATCGCAAATATTAACAACTAAAGAAGCGCAACATAAGTTTTCCTGTATTTTCATTTCCGTCGTTGATCGATTTTGGACATATAATCGGTTCACATTATCGAGAAATGGTATATTTTTTTATTTTGTTACTATTATATTTATTTTGGATCTATTTTTTTTATTAAATAGTGGTTGACTTGATATTGACTTATTTATACTGTGACTCCATATAGTCATAGCGTAATTAAACTTTTGCCATTGCATTAATGCACAGATTTGTCCAGGGGGTTACCACGCGGCAACAACGCGGCAAAACTTTTTTACGGATAGCGATATACCGTTTTTTTTTTTAATTTTCCGACGTTGCGGCATCCGAAACAGTTTCATTTGGCAAGTTGCAAGGCCACTCCCATTTGCGCTTACCTGCTGATCTTGTTGTAGCTCGTAGGCTTGAAGGTTCCCGTACGGAGTCCACTGCATTTGATCGGCCGCCGCCGCCGCTACTAAAACCGCCACAATCTAAAAGATATTCCCTATGAGATTGTATGAACATGAGACATTTTACTCCTATTCATTATCGTATGCTTAGTCGTAAATCTGACGACCCAAATGGCGTTGTGGGTAGTGTACCTGCCTCCTGCGCCAGAGGGTATGGGTTCGATCCCCACTACTAGATAAATATTGTGTGATGAACATAGTGTTTTTCTAGTGTCTGGGTGTTTATATATGTATAATATGTATTTATTTACAAAAGAAAAGTATGTTAATTATGTTTATCAGTTTTCTGGTACCCATAGTACAAGCTTTGCTTAGTCCCAAAGACTAGAGAATGTTGTGTAAAAATGTGTCGTTAAATATATATTTATATTTATTTACATATTAAATATATAAGTTCGAGTTCTTTATAAAAGCGATTAGAATGAGAATGTTATGTCCCGTTGTAAAATACAATTGCGATTAGTCCTCAAAATATTTCGGTGCCCACCTAACAATATTCTTAGGCGCCGGGGGTAGTAGGTTCAATTCCAACACGGGACAACTATTTGTGTGACCCACAGAAAATTGTTTCGGATTTGGATGTGTGCCCACGTGAAATCTATGTTTGTGAAACGTACATTAAGGACAATGTTTTCGACCACACAAAAATACAAATACAAGAATGTTGAATCATAGACTCCAGCGTTCCACGGGAACTAACTCAATACCAAAGATCAGAAAATTGCCTTTCAAGATACAGTTTGTACCTTACTGAACTTCAGCTGTATCGCTCCATAGAAACTAGACTTGAAAGAAATCCATGTACAAAATTACCTTATTGATGTTTACAACTAAATAACCACACCATTTTAATCATTTCCGACGCTGAACTAAGACCTAATTCATAAACCACCACTTAAATAGGTGCAGACCTCACATCCATCGGCTTCCAACAATGTAATTAGGAAATTATATGTCAAATATAAGAAATGGTGAAATTTTGAATGTAAAATATGCCAATTGACCCGCTTACGTATTCAAGATTTCTTCTACTTAAATTTCCCAAACTAGTATTAACATTATTTAACACGATATCAATGTTTGTTGATTCAGCGAATTACAAATTAGAAGACGAGTTGACGTCACTAATGGTCATAAATCTGGCACTGAACATACATAGATCACAAAAGGCTTACCACTCCTGACACAATTAAATTCAATTCAATTCAAACAAATTTATACCATGCCAGCGATTCTGACAGACGTTGTACGACACACGACTAAATCAGACAACAACTTATAAACAAAAATAATAAAAAAAATTGCAGTGGACCGAATTGTGAATCGAAACCATCATCGAATCGACCAGAAGACGCAAAAAAATTCATTAAAATCGGTGCAGCCGTTTAGTGCACACACCCACAGAATAATTATATATGTAAAGATAGAAGCATTACACATACTCATTGATTACTTATAGATTGTGAGTAAGCAAGCGCAATGTCTCTTATTAGCAAATATCAAGTCTCCTTTCCAGACAAAAATATAAAACGTTCATAGGTAAACGGCACGCTCTTGCGTATGGGTTAGCAGTGTTCGTTAACCGAGCGTGACATCAAAGCGAAACAAACTGGATGGAATTGCTTCAGCGGGTAAATACGAAGTGTAAATAAGTGTAAAGTGCACGGAACGCGTCGGGATGCCGCGATGCGCGGGATGAATCGCAATCCGGGCCGCCGCTCGATATAGATGGCTCGATGACGTTCGGTCGCGAATACACGGCTGCGAAATGCGTTGGCTAACGTCGCGTTTTATTTTCTTGTTTTTATCTGAGACTAGCGAGCCCCCGGGTTCGCACGGGTGCAATGTATAATACATATAAACCTTCCTCTTGAATCACTCTATCTAGTAAAAACCGCATCAAGTGCGTAGTTTTAAAGATTTAAGCATACATAGGGACAAACAGGCAGCTCGACGACTTTGTTTTATACTATGTAGTGAAGTAGGCAAGCGAGCCGGTGGTTCACCTGATGGTAAGTGACGGCCGCCGCCCATGGACACTTGCAACAGTCGTAGGGTTGCAGATGCAATGCCACCTTTTAATAAAGTGCTCGCTCACCAGACGAAACGCACAAGTATTATACTTCTACTTCACGCTGGTTTTCTGTGAGGTCGTGGTACTCCCCTGGACAGACCTGCCCATCCATGCTACAGCGTGAACTGTTGCGTGGCCCTACCACAGAAAATTTATTCAGACTACTGTGTCCATACACTAGACAAAAGTCTGATTTACTTTAAGATATATAGTAAAAAATATAGCCTATACATGTCCCACTGCTGGTCAAAGGCCACCAATTTTCATGTGTGTTATAACACACGAGAATTCGAGAATGGTTTAAATTAACAATTCGGTCCGCTACCAAATGTTTTTTTTATTTCATTTTATTTATAAGTTGTTGTCGGATTTAGGACGTATGCACAGGACGTCTGTCGGGTCCGCTAGTAATCTATAAAAAGATACGCGGCTTTATCCGAAATTCCTCCCCGTATGTTCTCCGCCTATCTCTTAAGGTTTTTACAGCCAGCTAACATTGTCGGATATTGTTGATGTATTACATCGTTCTAAAGTCGCCCTTATTTATAGCGACATTAAGAGCTCGAGCGTCCCCGCCGCCCTTCCGAGGTCGTATTTCACTGATATCTTAGCGGTTCTTCGGTTTTCTCCTCCGTTTCCAGCTTTACATTGAATTTATTGCGACGTGGCTTACGATCAATTTGTGAGATTTCGTTGCGTTGTTCGAACTTTATAAAAAACAATAACAAAAAAAACCTTTTACCAAGAACTTAATTTAAATCCTTAAAGATGCAAACGTTTCGACCGGACAGGTAGTCTTCGACATCAATAATTCCTTGTTTAAATACATAACTGTGATTCGAACGTGGAACCGCCAATCTAAAAGATGAAAAAACTACGCGACATGTTAATGGAAAAGTGTTATTACAGTATAAACGTTTTTTTTAAACAAATAATGAGTTCTCATATTACAAATTTATTTAGAGAATTAATGTTATATGGTTCAATTTTGTAAAACATTTTTTTTGTAATTAATTATTTTACTATGGGTTCCGTTTTATTGATTTCTACTTTTAAATAGACATATCTTTTTATTGACATCATTTAGATTTAATATTATAATTCGACTTAACTTTACTTTTGATGCGCCGGCTTACCAGTAATTGTCATTTTAATTATTTATTTATGTATTTATTCATTCATTTGATCTATCTTGTAAGGTTTAGCCAGCTTTTGCAATGTAATCGTACAAAAATATGTTTATTAATACTATAATATTATGCATGTATGCCACATGTAGGAACCTTCCTCTTGAATTACTCTATCTAATGCTGAGTTTTCAACATTAAAATTCATTGCGTAGTTTACAAGATCAAAACGGTTGCGACGACTTTATTTTATACTTTGTAAAGATAATTATTATAATTCGGACATTTAAGCATGTATACGGGCGAGCGACTGTTACCAAGCGTCACTATAATTCTAAATGTGTAAGTCTATTATATTAATTATATTCCGCCCACCAACCTTACGCCAACCACAAACTTTGTAAACTTTATAAAACAGTAAAGTGAAGTGGATTTGGTTGATAACGGTAATATTTTGCATGCTTTATAATAATTAGCATAACATGTGGTACAGTATTATGATTTGTAACACCTTTCGAAACCATGTTATAAGCAAAAAAATAAATAAAATAAATAAACCAGTCGGTTGGTGCGCGAAAGTAACTCACATCAAAGAACATCGGCGTATAGCAGATGTGATTAAAATCTCTCATTTAAGTACAACTGACTGTCGGGACTTCCCCAACAGGTCCTTTACAGTCTTTTTTACATGAGAAGGTGGCAAGGGAGCTGGCGGTTCACTCGATGTTAAGCGATAACCGCCGCCCAGAAGGTGGCAAGGGAGCTGGCGGTTCACTCGATGTTAAGCGATAACCGCCGCCCATGGACATTTGCAACACCCGTAGGGTTACGGATGCGTTGACAACCTTTTGAAAATTGGGCTCCGGCCACCTCACTCACCAGACCAAACGCGAAAGTATTTGTCGTACTTCCACTTTACGCTGGTCTTCTGTGAGGTCGTGGTACTTCCCCGGACGGGCTTGCCCATTCGTGCAACAGCGAATATCTGCTGCGTGGCGCTACCGCAGTTAAATACCTCCTCTCAATTATAGACCTCTGCACGCATTAGAAAGCGTAAGTGGTCTGAATAGTAACTGAAACGGACACTGTTATAGACACCTTCGCCAACCACTACTCGTAACTGCATTAGGTAACTTCACGAATTCCGATGCACCTTTTGCTCTTGTTACCTTTCACTGGACGCGGAGGCTGATTTTTTTTTTTTAAAAAAACATTGCCCTTTCTTTAAGATAACATTATACCGTACATATACATTTACACACAGTCCAAACCTACGTCTTTCAAGTCTGTTATTTTTATTTTTTTATTTTTTTTAAACGTTGCCCTTACTTTAGGATAACATTATCCTGTGTTGTACGGACGTTTGACAAACATAAATTTCACGCGGACAAACACCCAGATGCGAAACAACTATCCGCGGGTCACACAAATAGTTGTCCCGTGTGGGAATCGAACCCGACCCCCGACACTGAAGCCAATGCCTTGGCAACTGCGCCGCGGAATCATCATTTCCCTAAAGCGACTCAAAATCAAATTTATTGATTGTCAAAAAAACTACTAAAAATGCCGGAAAACTGACCTGAGAAGAACCGGCGAAAGAAACGCAGCGGGACAATTTTTGACTTAAACAATATACTAGAATCGTACTAGTGCTTTCAAGCTTTGAACAGAGGATAATAATCTCGAAAAACGTAGCGGTAACCCGTAACAAATATATAACATTTCAGGACATATTTTTACACAACATTACCTTGTCAGAAAGAACTAGAAAGCTTGTACTATGGTTACAAACACGTATACAGATAGACATGTTAAAACATACTTTTCTTTAACAAATAATATAAAGATATGCTAGCGTAACCGACAAACGTATTCCTGTGCACACTTCTACCTGACAACAACTTAAATATAAAAAAAAATTAAAATTCTCGAATACAATTAAACACATAAAAAATTGCATCAAAGCAAATATAGGCGTATAGGAGGAATTCACATACACACGCACATAAGAAGTATCTATGTAATAAAGATAAACACCCAGAGACTATAAAAACACTATGTTCATCGTACAATATTTTCCAGCAGTGGGGATCGAACCCGCCCTCTCTGTCGCAGGAGACAGGTCCCCAATCCACTACGCCAATCGGGCCCTCATTTAAAGTATCCATTTTAGCAGGAGAGGGAAATAATCACAAACCCAAGTAAGACTGTAAGCCCACGCTAAGATCAAATTTAAACGCTAGAAAGAAGAAGATACAGCAAGAAATATTGGAAAAATATAAAATCCCGCCGTACGATAGGCGCCTGCTTAATTTCTCCTATACCCTCAGTGCACGGGAGACTAGCCCAGCTGGAGTATATATATTGGGGTTAATTTACTTTTACTCTACTATTTTACTATACCAAAAATTTAGATGAGATAACAACGTTTGTCCCCAAAAGCCCAAGGGTCTTTGCCTTGCCAACCGATGACGTATAACACTTCTGTAACCACACACTTCCACTTATGCGTTTACTTTTAACATATGTATGTCACACGCGTATATAATAAAAATATATATAATTAAATGCAACACAAAACTCACATATATCCTTGTCGAGAACATTTTCAATGTTTGACGAAACGCTTGCGAGTCACTTGTGGTGTCACAACTAAGGCATCCGCCATTTTATACGCCAGTGACAGTTCCCAATACGAATTCGCGCTCTTTTCTTTTCCCTACATTATAGCAATGACCAGTCTGCTTAGAACTATCCGCCTAAGCGTTACTCAATGAATAGGGGTCTTTAGGCTTGGTTCTTGTCGTTCGTTTGTAAACTTCCAGTGTATCATAAGCTACCGTTCGCTTATAGAAGTTAGCGACGATGGGTCTTGTCGCATGGTTGTTACATAATCTATCCTACTATGGTCTTTAGTGTAATATTCGCCGAGTATCATTAGATGCACACATTTCTCGATGTTTATTTTTTGTGGTAATTTTGTTGTGAGATTGAAGAGTAATGTAATATAAGTTAAACAAAAAATATTTCCGTTATTTCTTCCGGTTGGCAGCGGCATTAAGTTCCTGTTGACCAAACGCTTTGCGTAGCTTGTATACACTTACAATTTTTGATTTATTTTAATTAAAACATATCTTCATCATCATTCTGTGTTAAGGACGTTGTGCAAACATTAATTTCGCGTAGACAAACACCCAGTTCCGAAACAATTATCTGTGCGTCACACAAATAGTTGTCCCGTTCCAGTTGGGAAAAGTACCCACTGACCCTCAGACGAAACCAATACCTTGGCAACTGCGCCACGGGGTCATCGAAACAAATATTTCTAAAGAGAGAAAAAAGAATCGCTTTAAAGATTTAGAGAAGATGAACGCAATTACAGGTTCCTAATGAACATTCGTAACACCTCGTCAGGCTTGAAAAGCTTGACAAATAAGTAATATTTAGGTCAAGTTAAATTAAAATTAGTCCAATGTCATTTCAATTAAACCTATAATTTGTAATAATACTGTTTGATAAGAAACTAAAGATTCTAAAATAATAGCGCTGGGCCCAAAATCAGGAGACACAGGTTCGAATACCGCAGCGCCGTAATTTTTTGTTCATTTATTTGGAATTATTGTATAGTTTGGAACTAGAAAACGTTGTGTACCACTGTGTCCTAAATATTTATTATTATTATTATTAATTAAGCATGAACAAAAAACGCAATATAAAGTATCTACCTTTGTGATATTCAACAAACGGTTTAATAGTAAAACGAAGACCAAATCGAGGGAGTTAAATTGCTTTCCTTCGCGCAAATTAACATAACGAATCGGAACGCGGCGTGATTGTCCTCTAATATAGAAATTCGCGAAGATTGTATCTATTGTTCCCAAAGGTGTCAACACACTAGAGTGTAACATTCGCGCAAACTTGTAAGAACACGCACATCGCTTACACTGATTATAGAACTCATAGACTAGAAGACAATCAACAGTTTTACTATATAGCGTGTCCTTACCATCGCGACATTAAATGAACACGCATATAGGGGATAAATTTTTAAAGTTTTATTAAACATTTAAATTCTTTAAATATCAATATTTACAGAGTTATTAAATTTTCCAAAACAAAGAATTTTAGGACACCCTTACCTATAAAAGCGTAATGTAAAGTTCATTTGTCAAAGGTCACAAAGCATATGAATGGGTTGAATGAATTTAAAAGATACAAAACATACTGTTAGAAGGAGAGGCTTGTAATACGACGCTGTGACGCGAGTTGTATAGGATGTTACAAATTTTGTTTCTTTTTTACTTAATTAGTTTGTTTGAAAAATATTTTTTTTTTAATTATAGATTTTGTTTAACGTTAATATTTTTTTATGATTATTGGCAAGTAGCGTTAGACGTGTGTTCATTTATTGTCGCGATGGTAACGACACGCTGTATATAAATATTTCATTTGATTTAGCCCTTCGGATTACCACTTATCGTTCTTGAAACTGATAATTTTAACGCTATGAGTAAAGAGAGTTAAAAATATGAGTTTCTTTCGCCGGCTCTTCTCATGTCAGTGACCTTTTTTCCGAACCGGTAGTAATGTTTTGACAATCTATAAATACTTATAATGTATTTAAAAAATGCCTCTTCACAGAATGAAGATATTTGAATTAACAATGAAAAAAATAACATTAACACACACAACAAAAGTTATGAATACTTCGACTTAATCATCACCAACTATTGATCAAAGGCCTCACCCTTAGAGCACCACAAAGTGACACTTTGCCATTTGCACCCACCGGTTGCACGCGACTCTTTCGTCATCTAGTGGGAGGCCTGCCAACGCTACGTATTCCGGTTCGTGGTCGCCACTCGAGAACATTCCCCATCGGCCACATCCACTAAGCAGTGTACACCTATACAAGCAGTGGTTCTTCCCCTGTTGAACCACCTTATCCAAGGAGAGGACTGCTGGGTGGCTCTACTACAGGTTGAAGAAGCTCCCCTTGTGATAACTTATTTTAAAGGATGATCACCGATAGGACCTTCTCAATAGCATTCATTTCGATTTTTTCAGGAACATTATCCTTGCTAGGGGTGCGAACTATGAACTCTAAAAGTGACCTATTAAAACCAATATATAAATATGAAGGATAGACTTAATAGCAGGCTAGTCATGATACTGAATAAGAACATTCAGCATAAAGCAATAATTTTCTAAATTTAAACTTCGAGTACTTTTGCGCCAATGTACGAGAACATAACTTATTATGCAGCAACACACAGATAAGCTTATCAAATGTCTATGATCAGTTCTGAACAGCAGGTTTTGAAATATTATTTATAATATCTATGGTCGCTCACCCTCAAACGTCAGTGTATCGAAGGCTAATGTTAACATCATTTTAATCGCTTTATTATACAATATCGTTGCGCTATTGTAGACCTAAGTGAAGCTTTGAAGTAACCTCTTAATCGATTCTTTATCTCAAATACGAGTAATCGGAACGTTGAGCCTACGAATAAGTAGTCCGAAACAAATTTAAATTAAATCACTTTTGTAACAAAACGAAGATGACTTCTTAACAGCCGTAAATGTAATTATTTATGAGTTACTAAAAACAGAGTAACAAAGGCTAAATATGTCCCACTGCCACGCAAAAGACTCCTCTGCACAGAGGGCATTCATTACCAACCCTCGTTGGGATCATACCCATGACCATGGGTGGACCTCCCAACGAGGGTTGGTAGACTTCACAAACATATATACGAAAATTTTTTTGAAAATATACAAGTTTCAGGTGATTGACCTTAGTTATATTTTTTCGGTAATAACTTCAGATACATACATTAACTTATAAGTTTTTTTTCCATTATCATACAGTTCATTGATATAATATTTTATACTTGTAAGTCGTATTGACTTTAAGCTGCATAACTCCAAAATACACATAAAAGAGTTTTAAATATGTACTTTTATTTAAAATAAAAAGTAAATTAAAATGTTAAGAAAACACAAAGAAAAATAAATCTTGTTGCAACATATGTAATAATAACAAATCAAACAATAAAATTCACTTCTTGAAAATTTAAGCATATAAAGTATTTCATACTGTTATTAAGTTATAGATATAAATCTTAGATGTAAATCATATCGTAATTAGTATCAACATATTTAAATATATAATGTGATATCGATTTCGTCTTTGACATGCGATGTTCTTTTTCTTTAAAAGAATATAAAGTGACCAATGTTGCAAAGATAAATAAAAAAGGTGTGGATACGAAGAGCGCCACATTGTTGCACTCGATCGAAATAAAAGATGGCGACGTATACCAGCTGATAGCGAAATAATTATCATTGCATAACGACGGACGAATCGACTTTTACCGGAACATACGTAAATACATAGTGGCCATTGTTTCATTGTCTGCCTTTTTTACTTTTATAACTGTAGGAATGGGGAACTACGTTACGAAATTATGCTTAGTATTTATATGCTCCTTCCTAGGTTTTTGTTGTGTTGTCTAACCCTCGCTCGAATCGCGAGGTATGGGCCTTACTTTAGACTCTAGGCCTATTTTATAATGACCATGTTATAATGTGGACTTTTGCGGGTACGATCTTATATAATAATCACTTGGTGGATTGGCCTCAACAATACAGAGATGGCCTGAGCTCAAAAGTTGGACATTTTTTTAAAATAGTATGATTATTAGCAAAGCAATTGATGTACATTTAATAACCTAATGGGTTCATGAATGAATCTAAAACATTCGTGATATTTTGAATAGTTCAGTAGTGTTTACTACTACGGGACTTTTAAGGTAAAGTAAGATAGGGTCTTTTAAACGTTATATTTTCTTTTACGAAAACAATGTCGACAATATCTTTGTACTTTGGGCTAAATGAGTTTGATGTCGACACGAACTGGATATCCGTTTACTATCCTGGCTGTGCCACGACCGGATATCGACTTGTATCCTAATATCCGGCGTACTCCGCGCTTCCTCCGAGCCAATTATCACTAGGATCGCAACCGAACAAAATCAGACACAGTAAAATATTAGTCCTTGGTTAATTGAATGTGATTTTTCTTATCAAATCGATTTCTATTAGACTGAACACCTACTGGTATACAAGTATTGATATCGGCATTTCATTTTTTTTAATGTAGATGAGTATAATTTCCTGTAATAAAAATAATGATGCGCGGCTCACTTGATGTTGAGTGATTACCGCCGCCTATGGACATCTGCAACACTCAACATGTGATTACAGTTGCCATCTATTACCTCACACACCAGACGAAATGCAGATAAGTGAATAAACCAATTTTCGCGCGATGGGGATTTGTGACCGTTTAGCTTAGTGGCTAAAGGACATATAATAAAATAATCTGCAAGGCGCGGGTTCGAACAGAAAAATTTATGTTAAAAAAATTACACAGTTTTCACACAGATAATAATTGCACTTAACTTCACGTCCGTGTTCTGTGGAACAAAGGTACTTCCCCGAACGAGCCTGCCCATTCGTGCAACAGTTAAGACTGCTGAAAGCCACAATGACTTTTAAATGTTTTGGGTTGTAATTAGCCGTACAAATCTTGGCTGTAATTCACCCATCAACCGCATGTTGTCCAGTTATAACACAATTGAATGCAGGAACTAATCAATTGACATATTCCATAATTCTAGCTCAGAACTTAAAAAACTACTTAGACAGTTATGAATCGTCCGAGTAATATTTGTAATGTTTTTATATGTTTATTTTAATATGTTCGTGAATGATGTGTACCTCTGTTATTGATGTGTTCATTTAATTATGTGTACTTCTAACCTTTTATTGTACCTTGAACATGTTTTTGGTGTACCTTTTATAAATAAAATAAAATAAAATCAATTAAATATGACAGGGATAGATAATTACGCATAACACACAGGTTCGTCTACCGCAGGGTCGAATTTTTGCGTCTATTTATCTATTAACCTTGGTCTTGAGAGATTAGCTCTAATAACAAAATAATACAAAAGGTTAATACAAAATTGCAACATCCCTCAAACTTTGATTGTAAAATTTTATGATTTTCTCATGGACCTCGAAAGGGGGATTTCGCTTCAATGGTGACCTCTTTATCAGACTCAAATCTTCCACGCGGCACTTCTTAGATGTAGAAACAGAAAATATTCATAGGGGCTGCATCCAGAGAATATGCTTGATGAGGCAGCAGTCTGTAGCCCAATTTATCGACTTTTGCCATTGTATGTGCTTTAAACTCCCTCGTATATAAACACCCAGTCAACAGAAAAACTATGTACACTGCAAAGTATTTTCCTGCAGTGGGAATGGGACCCACACCCTCTATGCCAATCATATCTTCGAAATGTTTAAATGAAAAATAAGCCATTGCAAAAGCACGAAGCCATTACGAAGCAATCTTCGTGTGTTCGTTTCGTTTTGTTTTTCACTCGCAACAGCATCGAAATTAAACTTTCTCGATTCATTTGTTTTTTTTTTTCGTTTAAAAATTACACTCACTACAGATTCTATACGTAACTTGCTAACTAAATTATCTCATTTGCGATCAAATATTGTTTTACATGACTTCTTTTATTTACTAATGTGTAGTTTAAAAAAAAATATGGAGAAGTAGTTCGTCGGGCGACTAAGGTGCATTTGGTCGAACCAAACCTTAGTTTTCTCGATATTTTTGTACGGCGCCAAAGCATGGTGCGTGAAAAGTCGCGATAGCAGCAGAATCGATGTTTTTGAGATGTGGTGTTGGCGGAGAATGCTGCGGATACCATGGACTGCCATGAGAACAAACAACTCCATCCTTTAAAAACTGAACATCAATAAACGACTCTCACTCATATGCCAAGAACGTGCCCTCGGCTTCTTCGGGCACATTATGCGTTCGTCGCGACATGATCTGGAGAGGCTCATTATCTTGGGTCAAATAGATGGCAAACGTGCTCGGGACAGGACGCCTACAAGATGGTCTGATGGTCTGATGCTCCCTACCAGTGAGCGGTAGCATGTATCGGGCTGTCCATGAGTCGCATGATCGCACTGGTTGGCGATATATTGTTCGCGGTCACGATCCTCAGCATTGAGGGAACGAGGAAGAAGAGAGTTTTAATAAAAGTAACTAGGGATTTTGTAGCGGTTTATCATCTACCATCCGATTTTATCCCTATAGTCTAGTCCCGTGACCGTGAACGTCGGATACGTTTCGAAACGGCGGGAATTAAAAATCAAAATTAAAACGCGATAAAGTCTAATTCTAGGTTCTAATTTTGTGGAAATATCGTCAGGCGTCCCCCAAGGCTCCATTTTGGGCCCTCTCTTATATGCTTGCTATCTGTACGACGTGGGTAAGTGTTTCCATCATGCTAAATTCCTTATGTACGCTGATGACACGAAAATTTTTATGAAAATCGTAAATTATTCAGACTGCGATGATGATGTACGAAGCTGGCGCGAGGCCTGCTTTAATCGAGTCTCGGGGGCCCTGTCCCCATTACTCGGGCATGTATCTCGACCAGCGAATGGCTGGTCGGTGGTGAGGATGGCCATCGGCCATCCCTATCCCTGACCGCGGTAGCGGCACTTGCGGGTGTACGGCGTTACACGTGGTGTGTAACGCGAGGACGACATCGTCTTCGACACAGCGGCGGAAGTGCGGTCGGGTCTGGCCCCCCAATGGCCTGTTCCGACCGCAGTAGCTCTCGTTCAGACTGCGAAAAGTTACAAGTTGATCTTGAGCGGCTCAATACTTACTATAAAGAGAACCGTATTGATGTTAATGTTAATAAGTGTCACTGTGTGTCTTTTACTAGGAAAAAGCAACCTTTAAACTTTGACTACCAAATAAACTTTTTTAATCTTCGTAAAGAAACTATTGTTAAAGATCTTGGTGTCCTAATGGACAATAAATTAGCATTTACCTACCACATAGATGCCATAGTAAATTCAGCCTACAAAAACCTAGGTTTTATTTACGTGTTAGTAGACCTTTTTCTAGTATTAATTGCATAAAATTACTCTACGTTTCTTACGTACGAAGCACACTAGAATACTGTAGCATCGCCTGGAACCCACACTACATAACACATAAAAATAATTTGGAGAAGATTCAGCATAAGTTTATAAGGCACCTGAACTACAGAAGTCACAGAGTCTCCAGTGATTATGAAGTGTCATGCAAGTATTATAAACTCGCAAGCCTTGAGAGCCGGCGTACGCTGTTGGACATGGCTTTCTTGCAGGGACTGTGTACGGGAAATATTGACTGCCAATATTTAGCTACAAAAGTTCTCCGATTGTCTACTCCAAAAGTTAGAACCAGACATACACGCTTATTTGCTGTAGGCAAGTCATCGACTCGCTATGCACAAAACTCATTAGTGAATCGCTTGCAGAGTGTCTTCAATAAAAAATTTTACAACCTAGATATATTCAACACAAATAAAGACAAATTCAAAAGTGGGGTATTAAAAGTATTGGAGGAGGAAATGGCATCTTAACCACACTCACACACACATAAACACACACACACACACACACACACACACACACACACACACACACACACACACACACACACACACACACACACACACACACACACACGCACGCACGCACGCACGCACGCACGCACGCACGCACGCACGCACGCACGCACGCACGCACTCGCACGCACACACACACACACACACACACACACACACACACACACACACACACACACACACACACACACACACACACACACACACACACACACACACACACACACACACACACACACACACACGCAATCCATAATAATGCCTAAGTATCAAAAGTTTTCATGTTTTCTACTGTCGTAATTTAAATTATTTAGCAGAAAAATGTAAATCCAAATTGGCTTTAAGGTTTAGTAATAAGATTTAGATATATTTTTAAAAAAAGTGCTGTGGATTTTGTTACAACAATAAAAAAAAAAAAAAAAAAAAAAAAAGTCCTAAACTAGTTTCATTTAATATGTCCTATAATATTTGCGTAAAACCGTTTAAAAACTTTAAAGTTAAACGGTTTTATTTTATGTGCACTGAAAAATACAATATTGTATTGTCACCTAAATTAAATGTTTGTACCAAATTTCAGATCAATCTGACAACGGGAACGTGCTTAAATTTCAATTTCTAATTTTGACCCAAATAAATAAACAAATTCCGTACGGGTCGAACTAAATAAAACCGTTTAAAAATCAATATCTACCATCGGCTTGAGATGGACTATTATCGAAAAGATTAAAACTTAGAAATCCAATCCAGTCCCGCAAGACTTTATGGAACTGTTAGTGTTTTCTGTGTGGATAGAAATATAAATCGGCCCCATCTGTTAAGCGGACCAAATGACGAAATTTGAACTCGAAAAAAGGGGTCAGACTTGGCCACGAAATGGACATTATTTGTCAGAGATTTTTAGCGACTGGTCCATACTTTGATCCTATCAAATTTAAAATTCTAAGGTCATCAGCAAAATTATAAAACCTAACCCGAGCCCAAGCTAGCAGACTGGAGACCAGTAAGGCACTCTTACATCGTCTTACTTTAATCTGTAAGGCAACCAATCTAAAGCTACACTCATAATTAGCGACGGCTCGCTTTCGAATTATCGTTGTAAAAATTTCTGTGCTATAAAGGACATGACAATAGATGCGTCAAGGATTGCTTAAAATGAAAAAAAAAACAATGTACGTAGATAAATACGTTAAGATTATTGTCTCCGCGGTAATTAGATTAGTGGTTAGAGCGTCGGGCCGCGAACCCAGAAGACGCGGGTTTGATTCCCATAGCGGCGAGTGTTCATCCATTTTTTGCACACATTTTCATCCACAATTTTTTTCCTAAAACCGTGTAGACCGAAATGTGTTTGTTGACAGGGATATCTAAGTAGAAATCATCACCTAATAAGAAAGCGACCTCCGATATGATTCGATTCGATTCGAAGAGACTCTCTCTCGACTTCAAAAAAGGAGGCTGTGACTTAAGTTGATTTTTTATGTTTATTACCGCAGACCTCTTTCACTTATGGAACGATTATAAAAAATCTTTATGTATTAGGTTCAGTTTAGCAAGAAGTTTATTTTAATTTGTATCAACGGAATTCCCCAATAAGATATTGAAAATCGGTCTTGTATTTGTTTGTATTTTTTTAGTGTATAACTTCGATGATTATTATTCGTATATTAAACGAAACTTTCTGTGACACATTAATTGAGATGGGCAAATGGTACAAAATAAAAGTTTGGATTATGCAGATTTTATTTCCAACTGGCTGCCCGGATGGACGCAGATGATGACGCGGGGGCGATAATTAACATCAGGCCAACCCGATCGCTTGCTAAAAAAAACAGGGTCAGACAAACGCAGTTATACTCAACTATTTATTAATAATAATTATGTACAGCCGTTAAGTTGCAAGTTAAAAGTGGGCGGTCAGTCTGTCAATCTCGTATAGGTCCGCCATTATCTCCTCCACTTTCGTGCCGATCTTCTTCGCGATCTGAAAGGAAATTGCCAGTTAGTATTTTTAAAGCGACAGGCCCGTGACTAATCATTGACACTAGTGACGAGCCTGTTGTAAGTTCTAATCTTGTTCGCGCCTAATCCAGTACATTCGTTATTGTATAGAATGGGTAAGCCGATCAAAGCTAGGTCATGTAATAGACGTAAAAAAATTCCAATGATTTCTTTAATTTTAGAGAAAAGTGATGATCTGTAAATTTCAGTTTATATGGTAAATATTTTCACTTTGATGTTCCTTTGAAATGAATGACGTGTCATCACAGAATACTTGTTATAGGAAGATTGACTTAGTTCATTCTATATTTAATTTATGATCTTGTGTGTTGTCAATGAGTGAATTGGAAATGAGTGAATCGTGAATAAATGAATTGTGAATGAGTGAATTGGTATTAAGTGAATCGGAAATGAGTGAATTGTGAGTAAATGAATTGTGAATCAGTGAATTGGGATTGAGTGAATTGGAAATGAGTGAATCGTGAATAAATGAATTGTGAATGAGTGAATTGGTATTAAGTGAATCGGAAATGAGTGAATTGTGAGTAAATGAATTGTGAATCAGTGAATGAATTGTGAATCAGTGAATTGGGATTGAGTGAATTGGAAATGAGTGAATCGTGAATAAATGAATTGTGAATGAGTGAATTGGTATTAAGTGAATCGGAAATGAGTGAATTGTGAGTAAATGAATTGTGAATCAGTGAATTCGGATTGAGTGAATCGGAAATGAGTGATTTGTGAATGAGTGAATTGTGATTGAGTAAATTGTGTTCGAGTGAATTGTGTTCGAGTGATTGTGAATGTGTGAATTGTATTCGAGTGAGTTATGAATGAGTAAATAGTGTTCTAGAGATTTGCGAATGAGTGAATTGTGTTCAAGCGTGTTACGAATGAGTGAGCGTGAAGGGGCGAGTTGGAGAGAATGTAGCGGGATGGCGACGCGCTCACGTCCTGCTTCTCGTCGGTGGGCATGCTGGCGTAGAGCGCCACCAGGTCGCCGTCCAGCATGCCGCGCGCCGCGCTGCCGCCCGCCATGCGCCGCGCGCCGCGGTACGTCCTGCGCAGGGTTCGAACCCCACTGGGGGTGAATACCGCAACAAGAGGGGATGCGGGAGCACGGGGGACGGAGGGGAAGTGCCTCACAGAAGTGTCAAGTGGGCGTATTGTACTCTCGCGTCTTTTCTGGTGAGTGAGGTGACCGGGGCTCACTTTGGTAAAGTTCGTCAACGCATCTGCAAGCGTTCGCGTGCTGTAGATTTCCATGAGCGGCGGTGTCCACCAATATCGGGTGAACCACCAACTCGACAACTTTTTACCGAAAAAACGATTCAGCGTCGAAGCGAAAATGTTGAAAATATGATTATCGTAGGCGCAGTCTATAGAGACAATCCATAAGTACGACAGAGAGGTTAATGGGTGGAAAAAAAAGGGGGGTACCTGAAAGCGCGCGGGTTGAGGCCGGCCGTGTGGCAGCAGTAGTTGTTCATCACGTTCTGCAACATCAGCAGACGCCTGTACACCTTCTCGGAAACCGGGAGCACGTAGCCCAGCCCGCCGTCCAGGGTTGCTGCAAGGGACAAAGTGACATAGAACGGAAGAGAAGATTATAATAATACGATAATCATATCGATATGCATGTTTCACAAAAAGACATTCTTTTTTTACGTTACAAGTTGGTAAACGAGCTGTTGGCCCATCTGTTTTAAGTGATAACCGCCGTCCTTTGACATTTGCAACACCCGTAGTGTTAAAGATGCGTTGCCACCATTTAATAAAGTGGGCCCAGTCTACCTCACTCACCAGACGAAACGCAGAAGTATAAAACCCTTCCACTTCTAACCACCTGCCTTCTAGAGAGGGAATGGGCATAATGGACGGCCCTGCCCATCCGTGCAACAGCGAAGACAAACACAAATTGTCAAATTTGTATCGGATATTAACATCGGCTTTATAATTTTCAGTGTTTATGTTACATTAACTAACGCCCTCTTGGTAAAATACCTTATACAATAACTTATAAACATTTGAAAGCTGGGCGTGGGCACTTACTGAACATGGTGACGTGGCGGCGCGGCGCGGTATCCGCCTGCGAGTGGGCGTGGGCGTGGGAGTGGGAGTGGGAGTGGGCCAGCGAGCGCGCCGCCACGCGGAACATCGCGTGCACGGGCTGCCCCACGTGGTAGTCGCCTTTGCGGATCAGCCGCTGCCCTGCAACAAAATTTTAATTCAAATATCTACATTCAAGTAGCTGACCCGGCAAACGTTGTTTTGCCATGTTTGGGGTGGACCACCCTTAACATTTAGGGGGATGAAAAATAGATGTTGTCCGATTCTCCACCCTGGCCGATATGCACACGAAATTTCACGAAAATCGGACGAGCCATTTCGGAGGAGTTCAATTACAAACACCGTGACACGAGAATTTTATATATTAGATATAGAACCGTTACACTTGCTTATTGATTGGCAAAGTACTACTACTTTGGCCGGTTCGGAAAATAGGCCACTGACATGAGAAGAGCCGGCGAAAGAAACTCGGCGGCACATTTTTTTTAACATTATTTGACAAAGAAACAATTACAGTGTATTAAAGTCCACTTCAAAGGGCCTGGAGCGATTAAATTATGGATCCACTCAAATACATCTTACACTAGTCAACCTTAAGACCAATGATATTTCATACAAATACGAGGTAGATACAACAATAGCGCAACGAAATTCAAATCACACCAATAGGTGTAATCGATTAGTCAGCTATCTCTTTCCGTATCATCTGTTACATTCACGTATATGTATGTCCCTACTATATCCTTACTAATGTTGGATGTTTGTTACTCTTTCACGCAATAATAATTTACAATAATATAGCTTATACATCAGAATAAGACATAGGCTATAATTTATATACATATTTTATATACAGCGTGTCGTTACCATCGCGACAATAAATGAACACACGTCTAACGCTACTTGCCAATAATCATAAAAAAATATTAACGTTAAACAAAATCCATAATTAAAAAAAAAATATTTATCAAACAAACAAATTAAGTAAAGAAGAAACAAAATTTGTAACATCCCGTACAACTCGCGCCACAGCGTCGTATTACATGCCTCTCCTTCTAACAGTATGTTTTGTTTCTTTTAAATTCATTCAACCCATTCATATGCTTTGTGACCTTTACAAATGCACTTTACGTTACAGTTTTATACGTAAGGGTGTTCTAAAATTCTTTGTTTTGGAAAATTTAATAACTCTGTAAATATTGATGTTTTAAGAATATAAATGTTTAATACAATTTTAATAAGTTATCCACTATATGTGTGTTCATTTATGGTCGCGATAGTAAAGACACTCTGTATATCTGTCTTTCTGTCTGAATGTTACGCCTCCAGCCTATTCGACGCAGACGTAGTCGCTGGCAGCAACTAGTAATATTATAAATGTGAATGCAAGTTTGTTTGTTACGCTTTCACGCCAAAACTACTCAACCGATTATCCTGGAACTTCGTACACATGTTCTTAGAGGTATTAAAGAAGACGTATTTTCGTACGTCGAACGTCAACAAATAAAACCACCAGCTTAAGAGCTCAAGAGCTAGAACACTCACCGCCGTAGCTCTCCCTGGCCTGGGGCAGGTACATGAAGAGCGCGAGGTTGCCATCGGCCTCGCTGACCAGGAAGCCCAGGGTCGAGTTGTCCACCATGAACTGCATGTCGTAGATCTGCGAGATCGGGCGCATATTACTCTTGTGACTGGTACCATTCCTATTCTCGATTTATGCCCGGTTCCTATACTCAACGAAGGGCTGTTGTTACAGCAGTTCCGAAGCTGTGTAACTAACGGGCGTTTTGAATATAGGAACCGGGCACTAGTCCCCTATCCCTTGGCGCTATTTTGAGGCTTCGGCAGCGGTGGCCGTTCGCTGGGGCCGTACCTGCGCGCTCCTGAGGTCCCTGGAGACCAGCGAGAGCGTCCTGTGCCGCTCCTGGTAGCGCAGCAACGACACCGACTTGTACACGTCGCCCACCAGGATCAGGTTCTTCACGGCCAGCAGCCGGTGCACGTAGATCTGCGTGTCGATGAACGCCACGCCCACCAGCTCGTTGTCCTTCAGCTGCCAGATGTAGATCTGCGGAGGAATTTTTCAGGACACCGCTGAACACGGGCCTCCCCCACAGACTGACCTCGCGATCGGAGCCGGGGATGCGAGGGGGATGCTTCTGGGGCCGGATAACCAGCCGAGTCAACCGGGTTGTAAGCGACATCCGGGTCCTTCTGTTTCTGCTCGTTTTGTGGTCTTGTGCTCGTTTTGTGGTCTTGTGACTCATCAATCGCTCATTCGCTCTATTCATAGGTTGACTCGTTTCGACTTTACCATAATTACTAGGGGGGGGGGGGGGGGGGGGCGATCGGCAGCCGCGACCCACCTTCTGGCCCACGGCGGAGATGAGGTAGCCCAGCACCTGCGCCAGCGCCGTGACGGGCCCCTTCTGCTCCTTCGCGTACAGCTCCTTGAAGCGGTTCTTCGTCAGCGGCTGCCCCGGCTCCGGCACCACGTCGATTATGTCGTAGATTATTATCTGCCCACGGTTAGGTTGCTAATTATTTTATCTCGAAAATCGTACAAGGAAATTTAATACAACATCTTATCAATCCATATGTTCATGGGTTGTAATAAATAGCCTCACAAATATTCACATGTTAACGGAAGCTGATGATGCATATTTCCACTCACCCTCCCTCTAGACGTAATGTCTTCGCTGTAATTGTAATTAGTACCAATCGCTATGTAACCACGCAGTCCGGACCTGGAAAGTAACGCAAATAACTCAAATTACCATCTCAAAATATTTTTTTTTTTTTTTATAAAAGGTACACCAAAAACATGTTCAAGGTACAATAAAAGGTTAGAAGTACACATAATTAAATGAACATAATTAAATGAACACATCAATAACAGAGGTACACATCATTCACGAACATATTAAAATAAACATATAAAAACATTACAAATATTACTCGGACGATTCATAACTGTCTAAGTAGTTTTTTAAGTTCTGAGCTAGAATTATGGAATATGTCAATTGATTGGTTCCTGCATTCAATTGTGTTATAACTGGACAACATGCGGTTGATGGGTGAATTACAGCCAAGATTTGGACAGCAAATATACTTGTTTGTACACATTTTAATATATATATATATATATATATATACTGTTATTTTATTCCGCTGTAGTACATCACCTGGTGCCCTCGTAGGAGAGCGCGACATTCTTGAGGCAGGTGACGTGCTCCCACTCGTCCAGCTCCACCTTCGTGTTGGGGATCACCTCCCAGGAGACGGGGCTGAACAGCATCACCGAGAAGCGCTCCTGCATCGGGTAGGGGAACCTGCGCGGGGGAGGGAGATGCAACACATCGCGCCTGACAGAGACGGCATTTGACTCTGGGAGATTGCAGCGAATGGAATATTGTGGCTTTACTAGTTTCACGGTATCGAATTCACGTATCTTTATTGAATATAGAAGCGGTAGTCTTATTTATTAATGGTCAAAGTAGTACCTACTATAGGTTCCGAAAAAAAAAAAACATTGTCCTGAGAAGGACCGACAAAACCTCAGCGAGACGATTTATTTCACTTAACTTTAGGGTGGTGTAAAGAAAGGGAGGTAGGTGTGTAGATGTAAGGCGTAGAACGATTAAAGATCTAATGTCGTCTAATGTAAGATGTAATGTAATCATAGACTAAATCTAATATATAAAATTCTTGTGTCGCAGTTTTAGTGTTTATACCCATCCGAAACAGCTTGACCGAATTTCATGAAATTTTATATGTATATTTAGTAGGTATGAGAAAAGGTTTATAACTAATTTTTATGTTCTTTAATGATGAGGGTTGTCCACCACAAACATTTTTTTTACCCTATAAATAATTTATACGGCAGAACAACGCTTGCCGGGTCAGCTGGTATACATGTATATGTGTACCAGCTGACCCGGCAAGCGTTGTTATTACAACGGCGTAGCGTGTACTTACAACGGCGACAATAAATGAACACACGTCTAACGCTACTTGCCAATAATCATAAAAAAATATTAACGTTAAAAAAATTCATACTTAAAAAAAAATATTTTGTAACATCCTATGCAACTATAACTGACTGATTCATACATTCAGAGACTTTTTCATTCGTTGCCACAGCGTCGCATTATAAGCCTCTCCTTCTAACAGTATGTTTTGTCTCTTTTAAATTCATTCAACCCATTCATATGCTTTGTGACCTTTACAAATGAACTTTACGTTACAGTTTGATACGTAAGGGTGTTCTAAAATTGTTTGTTTTTGAAAATTTAATAACTCGGCAAATATTGATGTTTAAAGAATATAAATTTTTAATACAATTTTAAACAGTTATCCTCTATATGTGTGTTCATTTACTGTCGCGATTGTAAAGGCACGCTGTATACATGTGTATACAGGGTGGCTTTTCTAAATGTCTCCATTTTTTTTAATTAAATTCTAGACAAATAATGTTGTATAAAAAATGATTAATATGTAAAATCACTCGTAAGTAATTAATTACATTCATTTGAACTTATCTCAAAAAGTTCGTGATTTATACGCAACTCATTTATTTTACACGCGATCATTCATAACTAACACGCACACAAGTTCGTTTACAGTAAAATTTAGGTATTTATGAATGACTACCGCATTGTCAACACTTTCTGTTTTTTAGGTAATAGAATGAAATTTTTTTTTACCGAGTCTGAACCACCTGTGTAAATTTGGGCACTTCTTAAAAAATCTCCCAGTATATATTTATATACAGGTTGATTTTTTATTTTTTATTTTTTATACGAAGTACATACTTTGATATAATGTTAATTGAGCATTTCATAAGTCAAAAAAAATATTAATATTTTATTTTGACAAGAAATAACCAGAAAAATATCAATTAAAATATCAATTAACATTCCCACAGCGGCGACAATATTTTCTTACTTTTTCTACAAGTTTTAATGTTTAATCTTAAGTGGAGAGATTAGCACTATAAAAAACTTTAAATTAAAATATTGTTTGTTTATCCCGTTAAGAGTGGTCACTCTATTGATAAGCGGTTTATTAATTATGCGTTCAGCGAACAGTTTTAGTGTTCGCGAATAGGTTATTGTATTTAGACAGTAAGACAGGAATTTCTTAAGGTGTCGAAAATGTTTGAAAAAAAAAAAAAAAAAAAAAAATGAGGTCAAAAGTACGTACAAGATTCAGATTTAGAATCAAATTCTGTGTATATGCTCTGTTAATATGTTCGTCGTCGATAAAATCACCTGTACACAGCGTGGCGTTACAACCGCGACAACAAATGGCCACACGTCTAACGCCACTTGCCAATAACCATAAAAAATATAAACGTTAAAAAAATCCATAGTTAAAAAAATATTTTCAAACAAACAATTTAAAAAAGAAAGAAAATTTGTAACATCCTAATGTAATACCTCGGCAAGTATCGAGTGGCGTACATATAAAGGCTCACCTGTCGCCCTTGTTCTCCTGCGAGCGCTCCTTGTCCTCGCCGTTGAAGCGGAAGTAGTGGGCGGTGGGCGCCGCGCTGGAGGCCACCAGGCAGTAGGTGCGCGACTCCAGGTGGAAGGTGACGGCGTGCGGCGTGGCGCGCAGCGGCACCTTGCGCACGGCCCACGGCGCGTCGTACGACAGGTGCGCCGCCAGCAGGCAGATGCGCAGCCAGCCCTGCGAAGCGCAGACGCCCTGGCGAGCTGGTCCTTCGCGCCGGATACCTCTGTCACCGCTGCGACAACTAGCCAGAGCCAGCCCTGGGACAGGGGGACGCTCTGTTGAGCTGGTCCTTCGCGCCGGATACCTCTGTCACCGCTGCGACAACTAGCCAGAGCCAGCCCTGGGACCGGGGGACGCTCTGTTGAGCTGGTCCTTCGCGCCGGATATCGGTAGTTAAGCGCTAGAATCTCGACAAAGTCTCACTTCGAGATCGGAATGGGACTTATATAGCGCTCACCATCCGATATGTGACCTCGCATTACCTGGCCCCACACAGGCCATGAGTACCAGCGGGTTCCCACCTTGGAGTCTAACCAAAATCTCAGCAAAGCCTAATCTCGAAGTCGGAGTGGAGCTTCTATGGTCCTCGCCACGTAACTCTGCGGTCCAGGACAGTCGGGCGGAGCCTCACCTTGGAGTCGAAGTAGAGGAAGCCGTGCGGGCAGTTGGTGTTGTTGAAGGGCGCGAAGGCGGGCGCGGGCCCCGCCGCGGCGCAGAGCGGGTGCACGCGCAGCTCGCCGCGCCCGCCCACCACCAGCAGCTGCGGCGTGCGCCCGCACACGAACACGCCGCCGTACCCGCCCACGTTCGCTGCGCCCACATACGTCATCGTCATCGTCATCATCGCCATCTCCGCTCCAGCGAGGTTAGACCCACTGACGCAGGTCGACACTCCGTAGTGGGGATCGTTCCACACTACGATATACGTCTTACAAATTTTAAAAAATCAACCAGTCAATTTCGAACACGAGAAAATCTACTATTATCTAGTATTGTTACTTCAATATAAAGTACGTACGTTCAATGGCTGAGAATAAACCTAATATATTACGCATAAAAGTGTTCGGAGGAGTGTGGCAATAAATGAAGGTGAGTGATGGTGAGTAAAGGTAAGGTTGGTGGTGGTGGAAGCGGTTGGAAGTGGTTGAAAACAGGTGAAAGTGGATATAGGGGCGTGTTCAGGTGGGTGACGGCGGGCGAAGGTGTGCGGTGAATGAAGGTGAGCGTCAGCACCGAAGTATCTGAGCTGTCGCACGGAGTCGCGCAGCATGGCCGCCTCGGGCCCGTCGTCGGGCCGGCTGAAGGGCGCGCTCTCGTAGCCGAACGGGAACGACACGCTCATGCGCGAGAAGCGCATCTTCAGGTTGCCCCGGGGGTACTTGTAGGCCTACGGACCAGGGGACACTGTCAATCCACGCCTAAGAACGCGCCCAAGGGTGACTTTTTAACCGACTTCGAAAAAGGAGGAGGTTTCTCAATTCGAGCGTATATATATTTTTTTATGTGTATTCGTGGATAACTTCGTCATTGATGAACCGATTTTGAGAATTCTTTTTTTGTTGGAAAGGAGATATCCCAAGGGTGGTACCATGGTGAGGAAACCGGGATCTAATCTTGGCATCCCATAGGAATCGAGGGCAATCCTCAAATGTTATCGGTATTAACATTATTTTTTAGTTTCCGCTTTGAAGTTGTTTTTTTGTTTAAATTTTTTTTTATGTGAGAAGGTGGCGGCGAGCATGGACATCTGCAACACCTGTAGGGTTGCAGATGCGGTGCCACCACTCAATAAAGTGATCCCCGGTGACCTCACCAGACGAATCCCAGAGGTATAACTCTTCCTTTCACGCCGTTCTCCTTCATAGAAGCCCGGGGAATTACCTCGACCTTGAGGTCGAGGTAATTCCCCGGACGGGCCTACCAATTTGTGCCACATCGAAGACATCCGTTATCTAACACTTACCTTCCACTTGGCCCTATGAGCTGTTTCAGTACTCATCTCTTTCGCAAACATATCATTCTTCTCATCCATCTAAATTGATCCGGTCTTGCTCTAGGTTTACACCAATTATACACATACATCACTCTTCTATTTACATGACTTTCACCCTTCTCATCACCAAGGAATCAACCGCTCCTTATTTATCAGTGACCAGTTCCGTTTTTAAGCTTTCCCTTACATATTTATTTCATTTATTTATTAATGCTTTATTTCTACCCCAAAAAAAAAACAAAGGGCGGACTTCATGCCCAAAGGCATTCTTTAGCAGTCAGGATAGCCCAGGTTGTAAAGAAAGCTTATGGTTGGTGCTGCAAGGGATGCTAAAATAACAAAACATTACAATTATAGAAGGAAAATAATATATATAAAAATAATATATAAGAATATAATACAAAATCTAACATTTTGCATTATACTATAGTATAGTAAAGTATAGTATAGTATAGTATATTACAATATATAATTATATATGTAAGAAAAAGTATGCTTCTAAATATAATAATGGCTTGGACCTAAGCAATGGTTGCCTTCAACAAGTGCTCACGCTCTTTCAAAAGAGTGATTCGTGAGTATACTCATTCCGGATCTGAACCATATCCATACCCTAGGAACCCACCTGGTATATCATGAGCGGCTCCCCGTCCAGGCGCAGCAGCAGCAGCACCCTGGACGCCTTGTGGCCCAGCCCCACCACCAGGATCTCGCGGAGGCGCGCCACGTCGGCGCTCCGCCCCCCGGAGGAGAACTCCTCTTCATCAGGAGCGCTGGTGGCGATCGGCACGGACTCCAGGCTGTCCGCCAGGATCTGACGCCAAAGCGTATGGTACAGGGTGGCTTTTCTAAAGGTGCCCAAATTCACACAGGAGGTTCAGACTCGGTAATTTAATCGTTTCATGAATTAAAAACAAACTTTTTTTTTTTTTTTTTTAAATTTCCACTCTATTCCCTAAAAAACAATGAATGAAATTGTAAAAATCAAATGAATGTAATTAATTAATTACGAGTGATTTTAAATATTTATCATTTTTATATATGTCTATAATTTAATAAAAAAATGGATACCCTTAGAAAAGCCTCCCTGTATATTAATATTTCTCTTGCATGGGTTTAATCCCCACAACTCTTACATCTCAAGATGAAATTAATGTTTCCCTAGTCTCTGGGTATTTATTTATCTGTATTTACTGTAAATATATACAAAAAATATTTTTAAAATTTAAGGGTTATTTTAGTACGTTGATCAGTTACCTAGTACCTGTAGTACAAATTTTGTTTAGATAACACTGTATAAAATGTCCAGAAATATCACTTATTTGAGTGCATCACTACAAGGGTCGGGAGCTCACCCTGTGGCCGGCGCAGACGTCCCTGACGAGGAAGCTGAGCTTCATCTCCGGCAGCGAGTAGACCTCCAGGTTGCCGTTGTCCCTCACCACGAACAGCCAGAAGGTGGGCTTGATCTCGGCCAGGTGCTTCTTCCACCATCGCGAGATGCGCCTTGGCACTCCGGGGTTCTTCGACTGCTCTGCCAGCATTATCTGCAGGAGCCACAAATTGTATATCAGTAAATGCAATCTTTATATTTAACTGGCTCTTCGCTTCACCTAGAATAATCTACCATTTTTAAATAAAAATTTAATTAATCTAATGTCATTCTTCTATGTGTGTGTGCCTCAACTCCTCCTGAAGGACTGGACCGGTTTTGATGTAATTTTTGGTGTGTGTTCAATTGGCTTAGAGACAAAGAGTTCAGATTGACAATTCGGTCAAAAGTAATTTAGCGAACGAACGATCAATGAATGATGATGAATCAACGGTAAATGATCAAAACAGTACTGAAATTAACAAGCTAAAATATTCAATGAATGATTGAATAGTGAATGGTGGGTGATTGAAACAATACTGGAATTGACAAGCCGGAATTGAGGAGTGAGGGAGAGGTGGCTGGGTTAGCTAAACGGTGGTGATGGAAAAAACCCTGGGGTTGAGGAGTGAGCGAGAGGAGTGATAGGGTCTACTTAATGGTGGCGATGGCAACAACGCTGGGGTTGAGGAGTGAATTAGAGAGGTGGCTGATTGGCTGAATGGTGGTGATGGAAAAAACTCTGGGGTTGAGGAGTGAGCGGGAGGGATGATAGGGTCTACTTAATGGTGGCGATGGCAACAACGCTGGGGTTGAGGAGTGAATTAGAGAGGTGGCTGATTGGCTGAATGGTGGTGATGGAAAAAACTCTGGGGTTGAGGAGTGAGCGGGAGGGATGATAGGGTCTACTTAATGGTGGCGATGGCAACAACGCTGGGGTTGAGGAGTGAATGAGAGAGGTAGATGAGTGGTTGAATGGTGGCGATGGAAACAACGCTGGGGTTGAGGAGTGAACGAGAGATGTGGCTGAGTGGCGGAATGGTGGCGATGGAAACAACGCTGGGGTTAGTGGGTCGACTCACGCTGGCCATGGAGGCCGGCGTCTGGTCCCCGCCGTAGAGCAGCTCGTCCTCGTCGTTCAGCTCGTACACGGCGCCGGGCTTGAAGCCCTCCGCCTTCACGCCCTTGCCCTTCGCCTTGCCGCTGAACTCGCCCTTCACCTGCCACCAACAGAGGCCGTTTTCGATCGCACGCCACGAGGACAACTCCGAACACGTACTGGTATCCAATGCGACGACGTCGACTCACTTGAACGTTCTCCATGTCGGTGGACGTGAAGAGGCCACTGAGGTCCCTGTAGGGGGTGGCCCTACAGAGGGCCGGCCTAGCGGGGACCCCCTGGCGGGTCGGCGCCAGGCGAGCGGACTGACGGAAAGACGGAAGCTTGTTAACTTTTTACCCGACCACCGAAGGGGGGTAATGTTTTTTGAGTGTATGTGACGGCGTTCAATACAGCGTGTCTTTACAATCGCGACAGTAAATGAACACACATGTAGGGGATAACTTTTGAAAATTGTATTAAACATTTACATTCTTTAAACATCAATATTTACAGAGTTGTAAAATTTTCCAAAACAAAGAATTTTAGAACACCCTTACGTATAAAACTGTAACGTAAAGTTCATTTGTAAAGGTCACAAAGCATATGAATGGGTTGAATGAATTTAAAAGAGACAAAACATACTGTTAGAAGGAGAGGCTTGTATTGCGACGCTGTGGCGCGAGTTGTATACGATGTTACAAATTTTGTTTCTTTTTTACCTTAATTAGTTTGTTTGAAAGAAAAATAAATTTTAATTATGGATTTTGTTTAACGTTAATATTTTTTTTATGATTATTGGCAAGTAGCGTTAAACGTGTGTTCATTTATTGTCGCGATGGTAACGACACGCTGTACAGCCTAATCCTTTTGATAGTTGTCAACATAATATGTTAAGCTTACAACCTTCTTCTTTATTCTTATGTCATTAGATCTGTCTCAGTTGTGGGAGTGACATGTGGTAAAATATGGTGCACGTATCACTTCGTTGGGGCCGTGGTGACACTCAGGAAGTGCCAAGGTTTAGGCTGGCTAAAACCATAAAGTAATTTCTTGCTGGATGAATTAATTTTTATAATAAAATTGGTTATATCCACATACAACTAAGTGTAAACAATTTCAAAGACAAGGGCCTATTATAACATAGAAGACATTGAGGACAAGGATGTGTGGCAATGACTCTTGCTTTTTTAAATTATGTATGTATACTTGTTGTATACTTACATCATTAAAAGACATATATAAGACCGAAGAGTTACTGGTGGCAATTTTTTGACGTTCAATAAGAGCTTAAAATAAGGTTTTATAGAATAAAAAATTTTGACATTGAGTTTGAGAAAGACAAAAATATGTTGACATGGTACAGGTACATTATAAGAAGTGGTGGAAGCCATAAGGCTACAAGTGATGAGTATGAATGTGGTCGGAGGGTGTAAAGCTAGATGAAAACCGAGAGAGATTTGGATGGACTGTATGAATGTGGTTGTTATTGAGACATTGGTGCAGTGGGCGGCTCGCACCATGGGGTCCCTGGGCCTCAGCTCGCGCAGGGCCAGCACCACCGCGCGGCCGCAGGTGGACTGCACGCAGAGGTAGGGGTCCGCCGCGGCCGCGCTCATCGCCGTCCACTCCAGCTGGATCGACTGCAGCTGGACCCCGTCTGGAAGTTTTATTTTAATGATCACGACTTAAGGCTCTATGTTAGTCTAATAAGAGGTAAACATGCCATGCTTCAAATTAAAAGTAAATACAAAGGTATAAATAAAATATTGTTAGGCGCCGTTTATTAAAAAATTTAATTAAAAAGAACAAATTACAATATTTCTAAGACAAAGAAAAATACCTGGCGGGGGACGAATTTGTTAATAAGTGGCAACGCATCTGCAACCCTATGGGTGTTGCAAATGTCCATGGTGAGCAGACATTCTTCTTGTTTAAGAGTTTCGTACCTTAAAAGGAAAAAAAGGAACCCTTACAAGATCACTCTCTTGTCTGTCTTTCTATCCCTGTGTCACAACCGATTTTTTTCAGGAATGGGTGGTCCTAGCAAGTTGACATTGCTAGGTCCACCCGTTTCTTGAGAAAATCGGTGATGATTATTTACCAATTTTATTACGGCGGTATAACGGGTAGGTACGGAACCCTCGGCGTACCTGATGCTAAGTGATAACCGCCGCCCATGGACTTTTGCAACAACTGTCGGGTTGCAGATGCATTGCCACGTTTTAATTAATTGTGCCCTGGCTACCTCACTAAGCAGACGTGACGGTTAAAGTCAAAAGATGTCTAGACGATATATTCCGTGCCACTCACTCCTGACGAGCCTGATGGCCACGGTGGTGACCTGCACCATGTACTTGTTGGCGCCGAGGTTGCCCGCGAACACGGTGGGCGCTCCGGACATGAAGCCCGAGTTGTCCACCTCGTTGATCTCCTGCCCCGTCTGCAGGATCTGTGGGGAGATATATAATAATAAGTATACATAGAAAGAAAGAAAGAAAGAGATTTATTTGACATAAAACAGACTGACGTACAAAACAATCACTTAAAACAATAAAAATTTGACAAAAAAAACATGAACATAAAATTCCAATATGCATATTTTCCCTTTTCAATAAAGTACGTCGCGATTCATGCCAAAAAGGACATCACTCAGCAGAATGTTGCAGTTAAACTGCAACGCTGATTTTCAGTAATGACCAAAAATTGGGGAATACAGCCCCGAGCCCAAAAAAAAAAACAAAAGTAAGAAACTAAATGTTATAATAAAATAAAAACTCAAAAAACAACAAAAATGGGAACGTTAATTAGGATCGAAAATGTATCCACCAATCCATACATGTTTCGGGACACATTTTTACACAAATCTCTAGTCTTGTCTAGTCCGTGACTAAGCACCGCTTGTACTGTGGGTATTGGATAACTGATATCCCCGATACAGATAGTCACGGTGGCAGGGCCACGCAGCAGCCTCGGCTGTTGCACGAATGGACAGGCCCGTCCGGGTGAGTACCACCACCTCACAGGAGACCGACATAAAGTGGAAGTATAATGCTTTCGCGTTTCGTCTGGTGAGTCAGGTGGCCGGAGCCCAATTTTCAAAAGGTTCTCAACATATCTGGAACCCTCGGGTATAGGAGATGTCCATAGGCGGCGGTATTCACTTAACATGAGGTGAACCATCTATTCGCTTGGCAACTTTTCACATAAAAAAAATGAAATAATACTAAGAAAAGAATCCTAAAGAATAATCCTAACAAAAGGGTCCTAACAGGTAGCGAGGGCGGGTGTTGCAACTGTCCTTGGGCAGTTATCACTTAACATCAGGTGAACAGCCAGCTTGTTTACCATATTCTCAAATAGAAAAAAATAACAATAGTCCTATCAGACGACTATCAAGACTTCACCCACCATGCTGGAGTCCTCCTGAGTGAGGATCAGGTAAGCGTGGGAGCCGTCCGCCTCCTTCTGGCCCTCGCGCGTCTCACTCTCGCCTATCACCGTCCACATGTCTATGCAGCCTGCAACGGAGAACAGAACAATTCAGTGTTTATTCGTACAGTCAAGGTGTTGGTATTATGCAGTAATCGATAGCTTCCCGTTGTCACATTTGTATTTGGTACTTTTTGTGTGGAAGTGGTCGCGCTATTCCCAATGACCACAGTGACCTAAGAGATATATTGTAGTCTTCGCTTCAAAAGCTTTGGCCACTTACTCTAGCATAAAATTATCCATAGTGTTAAGGGAGTGTATGTAATACAAAAATTTCACGTGGACCAAATACCCAGATCCGAAACAATTATCCCTGAGTACCACAAATAGTTTTCTTGTGTGGGAATCGAACCCACCCAATTGCATCACAAGGTTATCAGCCTCTTTTCGCACAGTCAAAGTAGTTGTGGTGTGATGACATGAAAACTAAATGCATACAAAAACCGATATGAAATGAATTCGATAACGCGCATATCTACTCTTCTTTATTTATTTTTTTTTTTATGTGAGAGAGTGGAGTGGAGAGCTGGCGGTTCCCTTGATGTTAAGTGACAATCGCCGCCCTCGGACATTCGCAACGCGCTATGAATAATGCGCTACCTACTGGGCTACCAGAGCCGTGACAGCTCAGTGTCCGGGCGCTCGCCTTTAATTCAATATACTCGAGCAACCTGAGTTCGATCCCCGGTGCCGGCACCAATGAAGTTTTCAACTTTAAGTGCTGACTTATCACGTGCTCCGCGGTGAAGGAAACATCGTGAGGAAACCTGCATATTTTCGAAATAATAACAAAAAAACTTAAAATATTTCGAAGATATGTGAAGTCCGCCAATCCGCAGTGGGGCCGCATGGTGTATAGAGGAGGCCTTTGCCCAGCAGTGGGACATGTACAGGCTGTTACTTGAGTTTAGTAGTTTACCGGGCAGGTGGAAGGCGGTGACCAGCTGCGGGCGGACGGAGCGCTGCAGCACGGTGAGCGCGCCGTTCTTGCCGCGGCCGCTGCACGCCACCAGCTCCAGCTCCGGCTCCGGCCCCTCGCGCCGCTCCTCCTCGCCCAGCAGCTGCGGCTCGCCCATCGAGATGTCCCCGATCGGGCAGATGTTCAGCAGCGAGTCGCACACCTGCACACGTACAATAAGACATATGCCATCATTTATATACATATTTTATGTATTTCTGTCTTTCTGTCTGAATGTTACGCCTTCAGCCTGTTCTACGCAGACGTAGTCGCGGGCAGCCGCTAATACCTAATGCAGACCTCTGCCACTGACCGCACCTCGAATACGTAGCTGGTTAGCTGCGTGGAGGTCCGTATGTCGGAGCCGTAGACCTCCAGCTCGTCCTGGTCGCTAATGTCTATGACGTTGGTGGCGACGCAGTCGCTGATCGTGTCCATCCTGCGCTTCTTGGCGGCTGGATCCGGCTGCGCCTCCTTCTGGGCGGGGGGCTCTTTGGTCGCCGCGGGGACTTCCCGATCTGGAATTTGAAATGTAAAAAGTAAAGTAACAGCCTATTTATGTCCCACTGCTGGGCATCGTGCTCCTATGTACATAGAGTATCGGGGCATAGCCAACTACGCGACCCCACTGCGGATTGGCGGACTACATATATCTTTTAAATATATTATTTTTATGTTATTACATATTTCGAAAACATCGTTCGACTTTCGATTTCCTCACGATGTCCTTCACTTCTGAGGAGCACCTGATTAATCAGCAATTAATACTAACAATTTCATTGGTGTCGGCACCTGGTATCGAATTGAGGTTGCTCGAGTATATTGAATTAAAGGCGAGCGCTGAGCTATCACGGCTTAAAAAGTAGTCCTCTTTAACGAGATAATTGATTTCTTACAGATTTTTGTTTGAGAAACTACGGCAGTTTTGAATTGGCGTTGGTGAAATTACGATTAAGTGAAATTTCGAAGGTGGTCCTTTTAGTGCCGGATGTTTATGTTATTCTACAATTTAAGTACAATCATTTAAGAGTTTTATCATATAATACAGAGAACTAGAATTATTCTTAAAAACATTTTTTTAACAAAAACATCTCGTAGTTGAATATCAACTAAGCTGTCATAGGTAATGCTATAATGTAGATGTGTTCGTTTCCATTGCAAGCCGCAACGGCTGGACAGATTAGCATGAAATTCGAGAGGTGATAACTTTTAACAAATAAATGAAATACCCTGGCAAGATTACTACTGTGGTTTCTACGCACTAGTGTTCGCGAATGGGCATATCCGTCCGGGTTTGTACCGCGACTTTACGACCGGCGTGAAGTGGATATGTCACACTTCTGCGGTTCGTCTAGTAGCTAAGAGTGAGGTAGCGGGGGCCCACTTTATTAAAAGGTTACAACGCATCTGCAAGTCTACGGGTATTGCAAATGTCCATGGGCGGCGGTTATCACTTAACATCGGGTGAGAATCCTATAATTTGGTGATGTATTTAAACAGGGGACCTCTGGTAGAGTCTGGTGGGGAGTCGAAAGGAGTGAGCACCCACCGGCCTCGGAGACGGTGAGGTCGACGGTGGCCTCGAGCGGCTTGTCGACGGAGAACAGCATGCGGTTCTCCCGCTCGGTGACGCGCAGCAGCAGCGAGTTGCCCAGCCGCGAGCCCAGGAACAGGAAGTCCTCCTCGATCACGCACATCTGCGGGCGCGTCGACAACTGAATTAGGTCCACTGCGAGGACGTTGTTTGCCAACGTACGTGCAACGGCAACGAGGCCGCGCGACCACACGTAAGCAAACCCGTATCCGACCTTTACAACCGCTGGCCAGCGGTGAACTGGAAGCGCTCAGATGAGGGGCTAGTATTTTACGTAGGATGTGAGCACAGAAACACGGAGGTGTAGCACACCAAAAAACAGCGATGAAGTGGAAGGGCTCAAACGATGAGGATAGGGTACTGACGCAGGTGAGCCCGGGGGCGAGGAGGGGGCGAGGAGGGGGCGAGGAGGGGGCGTCACTCACGCAGGAGGTGAGCACGGAGGCGGCGGCGCGGTCCAGGTGGAAGCTGCGCACGCTGCGCACCGAGTCGGAGAGCAGCGTGAGCACGTACAGCTGGCCGCCGCGCAGCGCCAGCGCCAGCCGCGCCTCGCCCAGCCACGCGCCGCGCGCGCCGTCCAGCGTCACGCACACGCCCTCCTGGATGCCTGCGCGGATTCGAATCGTAGCGCTACACGGGTGAGCTCTGGTGCGTCTAACTCCACGGATGCCCGAACATCCACCGGACCAGAGTCGTTTATTCAACACCCGTAGGACTCAAAATGCATTACCGCCTATCCATAAAGTGGTTACTTCACTCACCAGACAACTTCTCGTCTAACAATTCACGCCAGTCATCTGTCAGGTGATAGTACTTCCCTGGACGAACTTGCCCATTCATGCAACAGCGAACTGTTGCATGCTACGACAGTTAAAAACATCCATAGGATCAAAGTTACATCAGTACAGGAATAAAGGAGGAGATGGATCGAGAAGGGCTTTCACACTGTATGAAGCTCCCTAGATGCCCGGACATCCAGACTCATGTCGTTACAGATAAAAGACCTATAAGGAGACCAGGAAAGACTGAGTCATCGATCAGTGACTACGGTTCATTGCGGTCTACACACATTTATACAACCAAAAACACTTACGAAGAGGGAAGTTTGTGGTATGCGTAGCTATACTGTTTAATGAAACACCATACGGTGGTACAGACTGGTTCAAATAGATAAGGGAGTTCACAGCCAGGATCAAACATCCACCTGCAAGATACAAAACAGTTTATTGACAACAACACAAACACAAGATTTTAATTATGACAAACATATGATGGTATATCGTCAACGTGAGCATACCAAGGGGTTTTTGTACTGGAACAGCTTGGATACAATCGAAAGGCAAGCCTGAGGTTGCCCAAATGACTGGATGTACTCGAGCGGACATATTCAAACTGACACCAGCCATTGCACAGGTGTCACTTCGCACTGCTGTACGCCTGTTGAGAACAAAAAAATAGACACAACGAATAATGCCCAGAAAAAGATCCACTATGGTGGACACACGCAGCACGACAAATAGCAATATCAAGTACTCCGGTGAATACACCTGCAACACCTGCATATAGTAGAATTACACCTGCAACATCTCCGGTGTTGCGTGTTAAAAGCAAAAGAAAATTGCGATGTAAACAGGGTTAGTTCACTAAATCTAACCTAAAGGTTTTAAACATTAAGATCTTGCATATAATAACTATAAAGAACTGTATGGTAATATTTGATTTTCTAACATAAAATTCACACTGTAAAAACTTACCCTGGGAATGTCCTTACAGGCTCATACAAGAGCAACAATGTGGGTTCATAATAACCATAAAGAAATTGAATGTCTAATATATTGTCAATCTTCTCATCGAGATCCTTAAGCACTATGACGTAAGATGCTAGTGTTGGGGACCTCGTCATCTGCTGATTGGGTTGCTGTAAATAGAAACAAATAAGTATTATTCATAATGAACATAATTCTATTCATTAAATTTCCATGAAAATATATTGTGATTTTCTGTCAGAGGGCCACACAAAAGTCTTCGCTGTTGCATGAATGGGCAGGTATGTATGGGCAGGTATGTCTGGGCAAGTACCACTACCTAACAGAAACCGGCGGCATTAGGTGAACCGCCAGCTCGCTTGCCACTGCCACACATATAAAAGAAAGGACTTTTTCAAAACACTATAACAGCAATTCAAAACATTTTAAGGCATAGACTAAACAATTAAATAAACATTATTTTCGCAATTAAAATTATTAAGGAATCTATTACTGTATTACTAATGATGCGCTGTCTCATTTGCTAAGCTATCTGCGCCAGGGGTCATGAGTTCCGATTCCCACAGGGGACAAGTATTTGCGTGCTCCACAAATAAGAGTTTGAACAATCTACACAATTGTTTATATATATGTATACATAAACTATATAAACAATTGTTGTCATATAACAATTTATATGATATTTATATATATGTATACATTTCTTTCTTCTTCTTTCTTGACCTTGTATGAGTTTCTTCTTTCTATTTTTTCAGAAAAAAATTCTTTTACATTGCTTACATTCTTTTTACTATCGGTAAAAGGCTTCGCCTCCAACGGGTCTCCCTCTTCGGAAGTGATATCCTTTCTAAAAGGCAGAACAGCAAGTTTCTTTCCATATAACAACATCACTGCACACCGAAATTCCGGATCCACACGTATCCACGGTATGTGCGGATGAGTAGTCCATCCACCCTGAAAAATTCATAATTTAAAAAAAAAAACACCCTGGTGTATTACATAAATGAATAATGTGTGATGAACCCCTTAAAACTTAGTTCAATTTCTATTCTATTTCAGAATTGCTAAAAACCTTTTGTATATCCTGACTGGGAAAATACAAAACCTCCCCATGTTGCCAAAACCGATTAAACTATTTTCTTTTACCGATAAATAGAGTAGCCATCAAAACAAATGTGGTATTGCTATTTACATAGTTATGATCATCTAGAGATTCCTCTTCCCTAATATTTAATTGAAGGATCCTTATGTGCCATATTTTTCTTTCAAACATTTTTTTTTCTCATAAACAGGCAAAGCAGTTAAGATATCTAAAGATATTTTAATAAAAGATATATTAGACTTCACTCAGTGCAGTTCAGTTCTTGCAATCAATTTATTCTTTTGACATAGTGAATGCCACTAAACCCTTTAGATCAATATGCACACAATAATATACAGCGTCTCGTTACCATCGCGACAATAAATGAACACACGTCTAACGCTACTTGCCAATAATCATAAAAAAATATTAACGTTAAACAAAACCCATAATTAAAATAAAATATTTTTCAAACAAACTAATTAAGTAAAAAAGAAACAAAATTTGTAACATCCTATACAACTCGCGCCATAGCGTCGCATTACAAGCCTCTCCTTCTAACAGTATGTTTTGTCGCTTTTAAATTCATTCAACCCCCATTCATATGCTTTGTGACCTTTACAAATGAACTTTACGTTACGCTTTTATAGGTAAGGGTGTTCTAAAATTCTTTGTTTTGGAAAATTTAATAACTCTGTAAATATTGATGTTTAAGGAATTTAAATGTTTAATACAACTTTAAAAAGTTATCCCCTATATGTGTGTTCATTTATTGTCACAGTGGTAACGACACGCTGTATAACCTATGTCCATTTGGAAAAATTCACATATCAAATGGTAAACAGATAGGATATAGTGGTTCTGGAGATTAACACGCGCATACTATCAAACTCACAAAACTATATCCTTTGTCTATCAGTAAAGAAAGAAAGAAAGCAAGAAAGAAACATTTCTTTCTTTCTTTACTATCATTAAGATTACCTTCATATCATCTTCTTCAAAATAATGCATGCTCAATGTAACAAGATTGTTTATTTGAGGATCATATTGAACAATTGAAAGCTTGGCTTCTTTGAATGACAACAGTAAGAGGTCTCGTCCGGCACTTGCACACTTAACGGATGCAATGGACATTACATTGCCCCACAAAGTATATGTTGCCAAGCATTCGAGCTTCATCTTAGGTGGAATTGGCTGCCCGGCTGAAATTAAGAGTAATTTATACTATATTTGCAAGTATTACCTCTACAGAGATAATTGATTTCCACTTTAATTATCTTGGTATATGCCACATAAATTACTTAAATACATATAAATTTTATGCAAATTGTTTCTACTAAACATATTGAGCTTAGGTAAACACAATGATTTTTATTAAAGGAATGTAAAAAATAGCTATCATAAATATAAAAGAACTAGATAAACCCAGCAATGCTTTGCGCAGTTTTTTTTTTGTTTCCGTTGGAACTTCTTAGTACAAGCTATAAAAAAACATTATCTTGTTCAATAGTTATGCTAGTCATAGTTATGCAAGTCAATCTATCGGCAAATTTTTGTGTTTTATGGACACATACATAAGGAACTTAAATTTTTGTAGAGTAAAAAGGAAGATCTTAAAGATAAGAATAGAAATAAATGAAAACGAAAAATAGCATGCTACTGGTTCCGATAAATTATTAAAAAAGGCGAAGAGGGAAAGCTGCTCACCAGCGTTAACTTCCTTAGTGTGTCCCTCGGGCAAAAGCCGAAAAACTTTGATGATATTAGCACCAGCGGTAACCAAACATGTCTCATCATTGCTGAAAAAGCAACAGCTCACTGCATGCTCAATACCCGTAGCGGGATGCGTTTGCCGGCAAATAGAAAACATCGTTGTAAACTTATTATTTTAGGTTATATTGTATTATTACTTTATCCGTACATTATACAACATATAGTTAAACTGCTGGGTAAAATACTATATTTTAGTTTAAACAAAACCGTACTTTAGATATGTTTTATACAAAGAAATAGAATAATTTCAACTTTTCATAATTTTCAAGTTTGTTTGACTTTGACAATACATACGCTAACAAACTTTTAGCAGTTCGCACCACACAGTATAAAATAAATTTAACTAGTAAGTACAGATTAAGTGAACAGAACAGATTAAGAAGAAATTTTTTGTGAAGTGTAATTTTTATATAATCGACTTTGCTAACTTTGCTTTGACAAATACAAATTTTTTTTTATTCGTCCGAATTAGCCCCACGTAATATAGATAACAAGAGACTCTGTTTTCTATTTCCTGGTTAGCCCGGCAGCTATGACGCCATACGGATGCCAACTTACATTGTAATTTTTAAGGAGTAAAATGTTTTAGGAGTACTTTTAGGTTTTTTACTTAAATTTTTGAAAAAACTACACTGTCTACTTCTATAAAGCAAAAAAATTGTATCGATTTTAATACATCTAATTGATTTATTGAACTTTTGGTACATGCTGTTGTACACGAAATAAAGAAAAAACTGTCCAATTTGACCGACACAGCTCGTACCTCGCTGCGAAGGTGAAATGGGGACGAATTTATGCTATATTTATTCAAAGTTTGGTGTCTCAGAAGATCGGAATCTCGGAGATCACACAGAGATCTTTTTAAAGAGATTATCATACTCGCTTTTGCGTGTTTATTGTAATTTTTTACATAATTCGACATATTCTTAATTATTACTTAAAGAATAGTGACAGACATAATAAATTAAACACTAGAAATAAGGACAAACTATTCACAGTTGTGATTGAAATCGCACTGACGTAAGTGAAACGTGAGTCTACCAATTTAATAGACATTTTTTGCGCCGTTCAGTACGGCTAATGACTGAAGTGGCAGTGGCTGTTGGGGCAGAAAGGTTCCACGTGAAGGCAAGCGCAGCGTAGGAAGGCCTCCCACAAGGTGGACGGACGACCTGGTAAAGATCGCAGGGGCTCGTAGGATGCATCCAACGAATCGATCGATCGAATTGGAAGTCAATGGGGGAGGCCTATGTTCAGCAGTGGTCGTCCTACGGCTGTTATGATGAATGGGTTATCTAGACAATTATATATCAAAGTAAGAAAGTAATAAATATAAAATGTTTAAATAAAAATCAAGATTTCTTACAAATACTTTATTTTGCTAACACATATTAGAAATAATTTTACATTTAAATTTATTTAATGACGCAAATTCAATGTCGATTAAAATTATAAATAAAACACTTTAATTTGTACATGACTTAACGAAAATAGATATGTTTCAACCACAAATAATTTTGAACTATCTATTAAAATAAAATCAATATTTTCTTCAGTCATTACTTAGGTACCTTCTTTGAAAAATCTATAACTTAGATTTTATTTGTTATAGTTGAATCATTATTATTTAGTCATTCTAATAGGCTTTTTATTTAGTTGCCTTTTCATTTTCGGAAAAAGTTTATGGCCTTTTTCCAAAAATTGGCACCTAATCTGATCACCTCTGACAAATATATATATAAGAAATAAACATTCCATGAGTAAATTTACAAGGTAAATCTACTGTAGAACAGCATTTGAAAGTGATACTTCATTTTCAATATATCAAAGAACATTTATATCACATGACTTCCAAAAATATTGGTATTTAGTAAGTGGCTCTAGTGAGCCCATGTGATTCATTAAATTCAAGATAGAATCAAGTATTACAATGTGTTAACTGATACTTCTTTAAACTATTTATCATTTGTTTTACATATCCAGCCTTAATTATATAATTATAGATAGTGTAATAATAAGGTGAAATAATATTACATCATACATAATTTAATTACATGAATATATCAAATGATAAAGATATATGTTTGGTGAAAACTCTTAAAGTTAAATTGTTCTGCATCAAAGTTTTTAAATTATGTAAATAAAGTTTGAATTTATTTCCTCAAGTATGGAGGGAATTTTATGGTTAATGAATGGATGTTATGGAATTTTATGGAGGGTATTTTATGGTCTAACATTAGTTGCAGAAAATATGTCTATTTGTATTAAAAATTATGTTTATGAAAACCTTAAATTTTAATGAAATGTAGGAACTTCATAATTGAACCAATAAGACAATGTAGTAAAGGAATGTTAGGATGCTAAATTCAAAAAAGGGAATTTTTGAAATAATTCAAAAGCTAATAAGGATTCTAGTTAAAATAATGCTAATGCTCTGCGCGATAAAATATCTCTAAACATTACACATACCACCAATATTAAGGTCACACATAGAAATGGCTCAGTAAAGTCATACCCGGTTTGGTTGCAACAGAAAAAGAAAAAATTTATTCAAAACCTACATACAACATTTCAGTCTTCACCCATCACCAAGCCCATTCATCGTACCCACTAATTCCCACTCCACTCCGCTGATCTGCACATGTCCGCTAACAGTTCATCGAATTCCAGCACAGAGCTCTCGTACAGTGCCAAGTCCTTAGAAAGATTCTCGTTAGCCAGTTCCATCTCCTTAATATCGGACAGACCGTCTATGGTCTGTAGTTCATCGGACAACTTCAAGTGCGGCGCGTTGAAAAACTCCTTATAGAACTCAGCCAGCTCCCTTATGGGGTGGTTGTCCGCGAAGGGGAAATGCAGCAGTTTAAGAGGCGGCTCATTTTCCCCGCGGAACCCGGAGAACTTCTTCGGCGGCAGCTCCATGGAGGTCGGACTCTTCGAGATGGTTGTGAGGTCCAGATCCTGCGTGCTCTTGGACTGGGTCGCCCTGCCTTTCGCAGGGGTGCACGGGCGGGGCCTCACCTTGCACTTGGGCACAGGTATAATCTCCAGGAAGTCGTGGATCGCCTGCTGGATCACCAGCTCGTCGACGAAGGCGGCGTTCCGCAGGGGCCTGTCCAGATCGACGGGCCTGCACGGCCTACACTCCCTCTCCTTGGTGTTTTTGTTCTTCTTCGACTCGAAAATCACGTGCTTCGGGCTGAGCTCGAAATGGTCGCTCTTAAGGAGCAACGTCTCGCTCTTGTCGGAGCGGTTCGGCGATATGGTGAAGCTGGTGCGATAGGAAACCGTGAAGCAGAGCCCGCCCAGCGGGGTCTTCAACGTGCCAGCTTGGATCTTCTTGACCGAATCGCCCAAAGCCTTCGTTTTCGGCTCGCCGTTGTACACCCGGTAGAATATGGTGAAGCTTTCGGTACGCTGTTTCCTTGAGAGGTGGTAAGCGGGCGTTATCCTGCTGATCGTGATCACGGACTTGAGAAGTATGCCCATCCGGAAGTACACCGTGTTCATCGCCTTCAGTGACGTGTCGAACTGGGTCTCGTCGAGTTCCAGGGTCCAGAGCTCCAGCACCATCTCGTCCCCGTCCTCGGTCTGCACGGATATCTCCACGTGGAGCTTGGACCTGATCGTCTCCAGGATCTTGTCCGACGGGAGGGCGTTCTTGGTGGCCTGGTTCACTTCCGGCGAGTCCGGGATCTGAAGGTTGAACCAGTCCGAGTCTGTGGTGCGCGGTTTGGAGTTCGCCTCGATCTTCACACCCTTCCGTGACTCCACGATGACTTGGACACCCTTGTAGGCGAGAAACTTCGCGAATTTAGTGAACTCGTTCTTGTCGCTTATGTTTGAAAACGCCGCGTCCGGAGCCATGGTTACAACTAATGCTAAATGGCGCTTTTGGTCTATCTACGTATTGTCTGCATATAATAGTCTGTTCTAACGTCTATTCTTCTTCGGCAATGCAGTTCTCCACGAGGTTCCTCAAATTGGGATTCTCCATCGCGGCTGCAATTCGCTCTTTGTCATTGATTTGCTTGTTAACTGAAACAAGACAAAGTGATAAATATAAAGCAACATTTAAATTAGAGAAATTTCTGCATTATGGTTGATAAAGCGACATTCGAAAAATCATTCAAAAATTAAATACATAGTAATAACGTTATATAATAGAAATTTTACTTTTTACTGATGGTTTTACTTTAAGTCCATAGACTATTAAAGCTTTGAAGGTAAAACTCGTGATAACCACAACGCATGAGGGTATTGTGGCCCTCCGCTTATGAGTGCGGTATACATGGGGAGGGTTGTTATTGTTTTAATTAATTAATCGCGTTTTGAATGGACATGGGAAAATCATGTAAGCGTAGGATATTATAGGTTGTATGCAAGCCTTGTAGAAGAAAAACTTAACAGCATATTGCTTCATGGGCTTCTCAGTTTACAAAGTCGGCTAGATCGATGACTCCGTGGAGCAGCCGCTAAGGTCGCTTCTTCAAACCAAAAATCTAGCAAAGTTGATGATCGATAAGGGAGTCAGATCAACCTTGGTTACTTATTGCCCCTCCTAATTCCCGGGCCCTCATATTGAGCAGGGCATCGCAAGATATGTGAGGAGGTGCCTCCTCATCATCACCACATATTCTACAGTATGGGCTCTTCACATAAATAAATTATTACATAAATAACATTTAAATATAGTATTATATCATAAAAATATTATCTAAATAATCCTATGTAACAGGTTTTAATGTCCACTTTTTAAATTAATTAAAAAGTGTCAACTCTGTAATAAACAGAAACCATGAGTCAAACTATGTAAAATTTACTCATGTTAGTTTCTTAATCTCGAGTACAACATCTCAGCACTGTGACTTTGTAAGATCTTTTTATCTATTACTGTAATATTATTTATAGCACTTCTCCCTCGTTTTATGGTTATTGATGTAAATAGCGCAATGTTAAGAGTACAAATGCATACACATTTATCAACAATCATTAGATAATTTATTATTATATAATTATAATGTTTAATATTAATAAATTGTCTCATTACAGAGCAAAGCCAGAGCTTATGCTGTGGCTTCAAAAGGCTGGCTCATCAATATGTTTCCTAAGTAACTATTGTTTTTTTTATATAATGAGAGTAATAGCCAACTTCTCTCACAAAAAAATGCCACATTCAAAAAGGCTTCAAAAATGTAAATTTTTACCAAAAATATTTTTTCTCATCAAAAATTGAAAAAACATATTTTTACTTTTTTTATCTTTATTCAAATAGACACTTGCATTATATTGTATACTTTCCAAATAGACTGAACAATAAACCATGTAATTATTAACAATTTTTATTAAATCAGTATGTACTTCTAAATTTTTTCAGTAATACCATTAAACAAAATAAAAACAAATACACCAATGTTTTTAAATATTTGCTAATCAGTCTACAACAGCTCCAAAATTGATACAACAAATTTTCACATATAATTTGCAAGTCATCTGATGAAGAACTTAATGCAATTATTTTGTTGAATACTACAATAATTCTGATGGTTTTTAAAAACAGTGTGATAAAATTGATTCAATTCAATATAATTATGACATTTGCAACTACTACCTAGGCCATATATATCATAAAAGCTAGTTATCTGTCTTCTTGACCTTCCTACCTCATAATATTAATGAAAGTAAACTTGTATACCATCCTTGCTAATATTATAAAAGCGAAAGTTTGTATTTATGGGTGGATCTTTTTTACTCTATCATGCAAATACTACTAAAGGGATCTTAATGAAACTTTACAATAATATAGCTTATACATCAGAATAACACATAGGCTATATTATTGTACATATTTTCATGTATATTTGTCTTTCTGTCTGAATTTTATGCCTTCGGCCTATTCTACACAGATGCAGTTGTGGGCAGCAGCCTGTTATCAATACATAACAAAAACAGAATGACATCCAAAGCATTTTGTTCACTAAATAAAAGTAATGTGTTATGCAATCTTCGTAAATACTTTTCTATTTTCAATAATATTACATGGAACATAATGCTTAAAATAAAAACATATTCCAAGAATATCTATACTTCTGGTATGTATTTTTTTCTTTTGATGATTAGATATTTTTCCGAAGAATCAATCAGAATGAAGAGTGAAAAGAAAGGTCTGGAAGAGAAAAGAACAACCCAAATTTCACAATTCACAAAATAAACACACAGAATGGAACAAATATGTAATTGCTATAAACTATATGCTAACTAAGAGATAAGAAATGCATATCATTTGGGTTATAACATACATGAACTTATAAAAGGAGTATTTTTTTTTTCAAAATTTATTGTTGACATACCATTTGGTGCCAATAGTTATTACTTATTTTACGTTAAATAGCTTTTTGCTAATTAACAAGGTCATCTTGCTACAGAACTCCAAGAATGAAATGAAAAGACAAGGTTGAATACAAAGGGAAATAGTGGCACTTTTAAAGTTCCTACTAAATGTAATAACCAGTATTGTGAACTATATTTACTTTCTCCTCTACTTTTCAATTTGCACTTTTGTAAAATAACTAACTTACTACAATCCCATTATCACAATGTCAATTACAGAACTTATTTCATTTAGGTCCTTGGTTTAGTCATCCTTTTTGGACTAAAATGGGGAAGGTAGTACTTATAGTTTTCTTTCATCATTCACATCCATTCTCCTCGGGTGCATGAAACACGTAAAAGTACTTAAAAGTACACGTAAACGTAAAAGTACACGTAAAAGTACGTAAAGTTTCATTAACTTACTTTCATCTTCAGTAGTGTGTGCTCCTTTCTTGATGAATACATCAAGTTTAACAGGGTGGTGCAATGAACGCAATATTTTGATCCTTATGCAAAGGCCAATGAGCGTTGCCAGGGAACAATGAGGCACTGTAGGATTGTACTCTACTCTTAGTACGGGCACTTTATCTGCGGTGGGTTCCTTCACGAAGATTCCTTCCTCGTATACAACCTTCAAATCCTCCAACGTACTAGGCTTCTCCGGGTCCCGTATCGTCCTCAAAAAGTCTAAAACACCACAACACTCGTTAGAAATCACGTAAAACTCGTTTAAAAACCACACAAAAATATCAACTGACCATATATTGTCTCTCTCAACTCATTGTCATCTTGGTACCCAAGCTCTTGCAAACTTGCACTTTTGTCCATATAAGCGGGTTTAGTTAACTCCACAGGTGACTTCTGAGCGTTGTTTAAAGATAGTTTAGAGAAAAACGATAACATATCGCTTAATAATTATCTACCTATGGTTGTTTTATAACTCTGACTTACAAAGCAGACAGACATATTTGTTGTATTTAGGGTTGTTATATGTCGACAATATATTTTAAAAGATATCGATATAATATGAAGTAGAACTTTTAGAAAGAAAGAGAGAAAGTTTTACATCCTACTTTTTATAAGACTACATTGTGTTTAAAAAGTAAAAATTGTAAATAAAAATAAATAGTAAAGATTTATAACTGTGTGAAATTCTTGATACTTAAGGTTGCCCTAGAATACATAGTCAATGCTCGGGAGCTGGGATTGATTAAGCTTTTTATTCTTTAAGAATCTAAAATAAAAATATCATCCATTAATAATAAAATTTTGCGGTGGTAGGGCCACGCAACACTGTTGCACGAATGGACAGGTCCGTCCGGGTACTTACCCGGTACCACGACCTCACAGAAGACCGGCGTAAAGTACATTTAGTGTTACACTTCTGCGTTTCATCTGGTGAGTGAGGTAGCCGGGGCCCACATTACTTAAAGGTGGCAACGCATTTGCAACCGTACAAGTGTTGCAAATGTCCATGGGCGGCGGTTATCACTTAACATCACGTGAACCGCCGGATCGTTTGCCACTTTCTCACATAAAAAAAAAATATTTCTAAGTTTTCTTAGAAAAAAAATCGTGTAGGTGTGTTTGGTATGCACGTAAAAAGTTATAGTTCTTTATTGTAACAGGTCTCATTGCTTGTGATATAGGCATAAAATGCAACTGATAATGGTTTAATTAAATAATAATTTAGAATTTTATTTAAATGTCACAAAATTGTTATTGGTTGCCATGGTAACAAGTTGGTCGCTTAGCAACCAACTCAAATGGTAAAGTTATCTAAAGGTGAAACCAACTTCATCATATCCCTTTATTTCTGGTGGTGTGTGCGCATTTTAAGAAATTTATTCTCATATTTTTTACAAATGCACCAAAAGATATATAATTTCAAATATAATGGAGCTTCAATTATTGGATGTATAAAATAATTGACTCTGTCGAAGGCAATTGATAAGTGAATATAAAACGTTTTATAGTACTGAATTTAAGTACGTATTCATTTTTTTGGTGGTCTTATAGTCATGGGTTATACACATGATGAGAGATTTAAGTATTTTCATTTCATAATTATATCTAATCGACGTTAACAGACCAGAGATAAATTTTATCGATATGCAAATCCTCAACACTATGGCCTTATGACGTGCATTTATATATAGTACAGAATACAGATTGTTATTAGTAACGATTAATTTTATTCCATCCCTTATCCTTTAACATTTTTAAAGAAAATAAAAAAAAAATTGATAGGTCATGGTGTGACACAATCCATTATATAATTTTTAAATCTACTAATCTCTAAACAGTTTCGAACGCAGAAATGCGTATATTTCACTGTTTTTGCTAAGAATTTGCCTCCTAAAAACTCTTATTGTAAATTTTCTCTTGCTAAATTTAGGAAGATAATTCCTAAATCGAGTAATTTTGCTAGCTTTCACATCTTTACACTTCCAAAGAATGTCTATAAACCGCCATAAAGGAAAAAGACGTTCCCAGTCATGTTAGTTTGTTCCGAGCAATTAAGTTATTTTAGTCTATGAAATTGTTAATAAAAACGCAAAAAATCTCTCAGTACATAAAGAAAACAAAAACACAACATGTTTACTTATGAAGTAACTTTATTACATTAGAATTTTTTGAATGACTTCTTGGAGCCTTTGCCTTTGGAGACCTTCAGGACATTGAATCTGACAGTCTTCGAAAGGGGTCTGCATTCGCCGATGGTCACGATGTCGCCTAATTCAACGTCCCTGTAATTTTGAGTAAAAGCATTGTCATAACGCCCAAAGCAATTAAACGTTGACGGATGTTTTATATCTTAATCAGAGTTTGGGTTAGAAACACTCTCATCGTCATGTTGTGATCAGAAGACCGTCGTGTGGATATCATCATGATATCGTGGATTTTATGTACATAAAAACGCTCAATACTGCTTTAATAGTAAGTGTTTCACTTGATTTCGCAGTTTCTATTAAGTGTAGTTCCTAAACCTTTCCAAGTCGCCTTGTTCATTCCTTTCCACTAATACAGTTAAAATTTACCAAATAATTGTGTTATCGATTATGGCTTCCATACTCTTATATATTATATAGGTACAAACCTGAAGCATGGCGACAGATGCACAGACATGTTTCTGTGCCTCTTCTCGAACCTGTTGTACTTTCTAACGTAGTGCAGGTAATCGCGTCTGATCACGATGGTGCGCTGCATCTTCATCTTTTGCACAACGCCCGTGAGGATTCTGCCGCGGATCGACACGTTCCCGGTGAAGGGGCACTTCTTGTCGATGTAAGTGCCTTCAATGGCCTGCAGACAGCATTAGGTTAGCATTCATCCCCAACACGAGGCCATTGTTGAGCAAACACTGCTAGTTTATGTTGAAAATGTTGAGTTGAGATTGCTAATGTTCTTATACCTTATATCCCAATCTGCCTCCACAATTTTATAGGTGACTGGATCAAATGGGCATAGACAGCAGTGAATCTGGGTGCACAATGTATTTCATATAGATGAAACATTAAGGACTATGGGGCATACAACATTTGCAAAGTTCAATGTTATTATTTTTTGTGAGAAGGTGGCAAGCGAGCATGCGGTTCACGTGATGTTAAGTGATAACCGCCCATTGACTTTTGCAAAACCCATAGGGTTGCAGATGCGTTGTCACCTTTTGATAAAGTAGTCTCCAGTTACCTCATTCACCAGACGAAACGCAGAATAACGACACTTCCGCTTCATCCACCCGGCTTCACTTACCTGGACGGACCTGCCCATTCGTGGAGTATTGCGCGGCCCTACCACAGAAAATTGTAAGTATCACTAATATTACTTAGTTTTATTAATAAATGTGATTAAATATAGATTCAAGGTAAAGTTATTGTATATTTTTAAGCCCAGAGGAAAGTCCAATAGAAATCTACAAAAGTATAGGGCAGTGTGAGATATTGCGTAAATAAGAAATATCATGACAGAGTATAAACATTTTAGAACTCAGCATTTTCAACATAAAATATCAGATTTTGGGTTTGGAACACAATCTTCATCATATAGTATCAGAAGACCGTCGTGTGATTATCATCATGTTGAACAATAGATTACCCTTAACAAGCGACATAAATGGTATACACAAGCTGTTAAATGTTATGTATATTGCATAAACGGTATTGTTAAATTTCTTTATTTAACGGTATGAAAGTTGGAAATTATCTACATATGTAGAAATTGTAAGTTTACCAACAATATTCCAATTTTCGAAATGAAAACGAAAATACCACCCATATAGAGAATGAATTTCAAAAGGGAGTTCTGAAGTGAAATGGTGTTAAACACATGTGTAAAATAATATCTTACTGATATATGATTAACAGTTACAATTGCAAGTTTAGTGAATATAGTGAATAGCTTATTCCACCCAATGCTTATTTGATACCATCCTTACCTTGTTTTGATTATACAAATTAAACATTTACAAGTCCAGTAGCTGCATACTATTGTTAAGAACTTAAATATAAACATGCAATATGTGCAACCGAGCAGCCTTCTGCTTAGCGTTTTAATGGTGTCGAACGGAACTTTCATGTTAAATATATTTTGAAAGCTCCCATGATAACCACCACCAGTGAGTTTGTTGATAGAAGGGAGATTTAAGTGGAAATAGCTAAGATTTTCACATTTCGTGTGATTGGAAGATTGAAAATCTTTCTCATTTCACCCTTAAATCTCCATTCCCATAGACAAGAACAAAAGACCAACGACGAAGCGACCATAGCCACCGAACCCAAATACTGGAATTCAGACCTCACGTGGCGTCTTGAAACCTAGACCGACATTCTTATGATGTCTCATATCCTTCCTCTTCAATCCCCCTTTACGGTTGAGGAACACCGTGGCCTGTTTCTGAAAGGCTTTCTCTGTCTACAAAAAAAAGAAAAAACAACACTCGTTAGAATCACACATCATGCGTTACCTCACGGGGCGTTTTGAAACCGAGCCCCACATCTTTGTGGTATCTCAGAGGCTTCCGGCTACGTTTCACACCGATGCCCTTCTTACGGTTCAAAAACACCGTTGGTTGCTTTTGGAATGAACGCTCAGTCTGGAATTATTGTCAAGTATTAGAACATTGTAGGAACATTGAAGGCAAACTTTTAAACAAATTTATAGGATTTAACAGATAGTTTTCCATTAGCAGCTGAAAATAATTATTATATAGTTCATATCTGAGAACAAGAAAATAAAAAAAATTAATATAATTGGTTTATACTATTGGCCTGCATTAGACGAGAAAGATTTGGAGTTTTTTTTTTTCAAATTGTTAGTATTTTAAGGACATATTTATTATTGAACATTTTGTAAAATTTATTGAGACATAAAACATTTATACAACAAAACAGAATTTCGAATTATTTAACATATAATCAACATCAATGTCTGCAAAATAATAAGTGAAAAAAAAAAAAAAAGAGTAAGTCTGGTTTCTAGCCTAACTTGCATATATTCTACACTCTTCAATGTCTAATAATGGAGGCAGAGAATTTAGAAATTGCACATAAAACATGCATGTTTATTCAACAAAAGTAAAAAATCCGAAGGGGCGATAAATATAACCTGGAGGAATTAAAGTAATTTCTATTTGTTTAATGCAACAATTCCAAAATTAATTCTAGAAAAATTTCAACATATTTTATCCTACTCCATTATCTTTTTTTCTTAATGTGAGGTGTCAAGTGTGATTCACCTGATGTTAAGTGATAACCGCCGCCGCTGGATATTTACAACATACAGGGCTCCAGCTTTTCCTATGGAAAGTGAGGTAACTTACCATAGGAAAAGCAGAAGTATGACTAACTACTTCACGCCGATCTTCTGTGAGGTCGTGGTGCTCACCAGAATGGACCATCCCATTCATGCAATATCCAAGCTATTGCATGGTAGGGCCTCTAAATCTCATGATTATTAAAACTTATGCCACCTATGTTAAGTGAAGTTAACATATGAGCGGCACCGATTTTGAAAAATTTACCATTGAATTTTACACATTTTCAAGCGTTTTCATTAAATTCATATATGAAAACTGGGCTACCTAAATATAGGAGCGTATACTTACATTAATTATTACTGTTTGGGCATCATACACGTCTCGAATATTATTACACTCTAATCCTGAAGCTTAAAATAAGCTGCATAAATTCAAAAGATTTGATACTAAAATACATAACCTTCGTACCTACTTTTTACAACAGCAGACATGCATCGAATAATAAATTTAGGAATATCACATTATAACAAATATTGTATTTAACGCGAACATCTCATGTAAAATTAATGTGGGTATTAATTTTAAAACGAGGACTACATATTCGTGTAAAATAAATTCCCACGTGGATATCGACAACAAACACATTTTCACTGTAACTGTGTACATTTTCACTTTAAATCAATATTCCGAAAGCCTACTAAAAATTATAATTTACTTTAAACTCAATAATAGGTATTTTATACGTAAAAAACGTTATTTATTGAAGAAAATCGGCACCTACCTGATCCGCCATTTTGCTTGACAAGGAAAAGAAGTAACACAGATAAATATTAAAACATATAAAATTTTTGTGTTAACAGATTAGGTTCCTATATTAAACCACAGATAACGATTTGGTAGAATAATGGATTTTTTATGTGCTGTTATATTTTTCTTGTCAACATTTCGAAAACATGCAGGTTTCCTCACCACCGGTGGGCACGTGATAAGTCAGCACTTAAAATTTACAATTTCATTCAGGCCGGCACTGTGGAATTGGATCGAGTTCAGGTTGCTCAAGTATGTTGAATTAAAAGCGAGCTCGGGGACAATGATCGGGGAGCTATCATGAATATTAAAAGATCTACATATCTCGGCGTAATAATAGTAATTTTTAAAAATTAATGTATCTTAATGAATTAAGGTTAAGATGTTCAAACGAATGTATGCAGACACGCTATTAAATAACGATAACAACATTGTGTGATCCATTCAAAAGAGGTCTGGTACACGGGGGTACAGAGTAGGCTGCTAATCAAGGTCCGTGTATTGACAATCATGAGTACTGACCCATGTGTGTTTTTTAATGTATGTATTGAGTGCTGCATTTAGTGCATGCTGTGAGACATTGGACATGTTAACCAGTTCAGGGCTTCAGGGCCCTTGTTGCCTTATCCAATAAACAATGCGTTTTTCTTTTTTTTTTAAACATTGCCCTTACTTTAGGATAACTTTATCCCATGTTGTAAGGGCGTTTTACAAACATAAATTTCACGTAGACAAACACCCAGATGCGAAACAACTATCTATGGGTCACGCAAATAGTTGTCCCGTGTGGGACTCGAACCCACGACCCCTGACGCCGAAGCCAATACTTTGGCCACTGCGCCACGGAGTCATCGAATTAGCTCGGATCGTGCGGAGCGTCTATTACGAATAAAATAGCCTCGAGTTATCTCGAATGCAATCGGTGCGAGTGAGTTCGGGATGGATTCTGATGGATCCGTTGGTCACTATATCCTTGTGGTTTGTTCAACCCACAGCAAAATCATTTTAGTACCCTGCCTACGAAACCATTTATTTCATTGAAGCTGTAGAGTGGATTGCGGCGTCATGGCGTCGTCGAGTCTTACTCAAGAGAAACAATGTGTACGACATTGTTACTCCTAACAGTCTCAGGAGTCTCAGACTCAGGAGAGTCCACGGAACATTTAATTGCGTACCTCTTCCAAAGAATTTGTCTAAGTCGACAGGTTAAAATAAACTACACTTACAAAAAAATAAAATAATAAAATTACGTCTATATTATTAAAATTATTATAAGAAGCCAAGATTTAAAAGCAATCAAAATAACGTCGTCTTTTAAAGTTTTAGAAATACAAATACCTGTGATTAATAATAGCGAACACAATGATATTTGAATTTGATGAAAGTTCAACTTACAATTATTATAAATCAATATTTTTATAAATAAGCATATCCAATTGTAGGTCATTCATTAATCATTATACATGATCCAATGTTTCGATTCCCTTGCCAGTTTTGCAAGCGATTTATAGCGCTGGGAGAAAAAAAGTAAACACTAAACACTAAACATTGTCAAAACTCAAAACGCGAATTGTTATGAAAATATTTAACATTAATTTCTTATTTTTCGTCTAAACGCGAAAATTCTGTTTGTTTTACGTTTTTTCTTAAATCTTTTTACAATCAATGCCGTAATCTATTTGTAGAACATTATGGATCGGTGAATTAACGCTCGTTACATTTGATAGTGATGACTTTCTTTCGTTTTTATTTTTGTTAAATCTTGAGTGATTTCCACTGATCCGGGATGGAGGAAGTAAGGCAGCTCGTGCAAGAAGAAGGCAGGGAGGCGAGGAACCTGGTAGCATTTCACGTAGCGGTCGATACACCAAGTAAATTATATATCAATTATTATATATACTGTAATGCTAGAAAAATGGTATGTGGGCGTGAATGAGCATTGCTTAAATAAATGATATTTATGTGTTGCTAATGCTTAATAAGACTCTGATTTTATGTCGTGATGCAATTTATATTCCTTATTTCGCGTTTTCTATCCATTACATGGTCTATGCATTCAACAGATGGATGTGTTTTTAAGTTATTAAAGTGGCGCGCATTATTATTTTCAGAACATAGTTTGCATTGCGAAGTATTAATGATCGAATGTTTCATTATAAAAATAATCAGGTTTGTTTTATTTACATTTATGATTAAAAAAAAATGTGATTAAGATGATATTTAAAATTGATTTGCTTTCATTACATTCATTTGTTATGTGTATTATAGGAACATCAAGCTTCATGATTATATTTTTTGAAGCAACCATTGCAATGTTATTCTGTGTAATGTCCCTTCTGTTAATCAAATATAAATGTTCTTGAATGGTAGGTGTGGCTGATGGGATCACTTTCAAGCCAAATAGACACTTAAGAACTGATTAGAAAACTATTTATTTCAAATTTTACATTTTGAACTTAATTTAGACGAAACCTAATCATTATGAAATTTATATAAAATACAAGAGTTATGTCAGACAGCTAGACATGTTACTTCTACAAACGATTTTACAGAATCTATCAAATATGACACAATTCAGTCTGAACAAATAAAACTAACATTCTAAATTTAATTTAAAGTAATTCAAACATAATACATAAACCAAGAAGATCAGAGTTGATATCAAAAGAGTATGTATAATGTGTGATTACCAATCAACAAATGTTATATATATATATATATATTATTAATATTCTTATAATAACAAAGATCACAAATATCAATGTCCATTACAATCTCTTCAGTTTTAATTTGTATTTTATTTTCTTATATTTTTCTGTGGCTTGTTAGTTAATGACTTTTGAATAAGCACAGTGCATATAATATATAAATAAACATATTCTTCTTCCTATCTTGCATAAGTCACTTGTAAGACTAGCAGAAATCATGTACTATGCTCTTGTACTATTTTTGCATGCAAGAATTGGTTAACTCTTGACTATCATATTGTTAAACCATGATATTTTAGCTCATTAAAATCCTGTTATAGCATAGCGTTCATCTCTATGAAGAATACAAGAGTTTTTATGGTCTGTTCTTAAATGAGACTCTTACCCATTTTCATGGAACAAATCTGATTAGTATTAGAAAAATTGATGTTGACTATGAAAGTAGGAAATATCTTATTTCTTAGTTTGAAAATCTTTGGATTTGATTTAGCACAACCGGTATTGTGATAGGTACTTCTTACTATTAGCCCTGTAGTCACATGTCCATAGAGCAGGGCTTAGATGTCCCAAGACAGTTGTAGTCTAATAGTCTTCTAGAACAGTACACTGGACTCGTTTGTGATTCGGATGGGAACCATGATCAGGATGATCTTTGTGGGCCTATTAAGTAGGTTTAATGTTGTATAAGGTTGGTTTACGGTTGCAAAACTGTGAAAGAATTGGGTGAAATTTCTCCTATATTTAAAATATACTGTGCTAGGACAACGCAACAGATTCTTCTGTTGTATGAATGGGTAGGCTTGTTCAGGCAAGTACCATAGAAGACCAGCATGAAGTTGAAGTATAATACTCACGCACTCCGTTTGGTGAGTGAGCTACCTAGCCTTTTTTTAAGTTGCTTATGCTTCTGCAAGGCCTGTGTGTGATGATTTTATTATTTTTTTATGTGAGCAGGTGGTAAGCGTAAAGTTTTTTGGAATCTGAATATATTTCCTTTTTCACTGCGATTTGTAGTTACTGTTATTAGTATTCAAATGTGATTCCACATAGACTTAACAAGTGTTTAGCAGTGATTCTATATAATAATTCTATAGCTATGGAAAAATCTATGCTCAGTATTTCGCTAAGGGATAAAATCCGAAACTATTCGGCACGATATCCGGCAGAGGACTAAAGTTGTCGATATAGAACGTAAGTGTAGCAAGCTGAAGTGGCAGTGGGCTGGCCACATCTGTCGTAGAAACGATGAGTGTTGGAGCAGGCGGGTTCTCGAATGGAGACCACGTCTCGGAAAACGTAGTGTCGGACGTCCGCCTGCCAGGTGGACCGATGACCTGAGAAAAGTCGTTGGTAGTGGCTGAATTAGGAAAGCGGAAGATCATGCTCTGTGGTGTGCCCTTCGGGAGGCCTATGTCCAGTGGACAGTGGACTGCAAAAGGCTGATTGGATTGGAGTGATTAAGTTAACTATATTAAGTTTATTGGACAGTTAATGTAGCTAAAGGGTATTATTTACTTGTTTTTTTACAAAACGCCTCAGAATGATAATTCCATGTCAATTTTTTTGTCCTATTGTTGGACCTTAAATTATGTGTAAGTGGTTTAAGGTGGTTACTACTATTTCGTTCCCAGCATAACAATTTAAAATTAATCCACACCTGTAATTTTTCCCATGAATAGCCTTGATTGAATGTTTAATGTGCATGTCAGCCTAGCTGTTTTATTTCATGTTATTTATTACAAGTCACATTATTTATATTTTCAGTTTAATAAATAGGAATAGGATTCAAATCAATAAGGTAGGGTGGGCAAAATAGATTTTTAAATAACATTTATTTACAAATAAATTTAGTACTTAAAAAGTAAAGTTACAGTCTTAATATATATCACTGCTGGGCAGTCCTCTGATGTGATTTTTTTTATTAACATTTTGAAAATATGCAGGTTTCCTTACGATGTTATCCTTCATCGTTGAGCATGTCAGCACTTAAAATGAATAACTTCATTGGTGTTGGCACCAGGATTGAACTTTTAAGGTTGCTTGAGTATTTGCATTAAAAGCTAGCGCCCGGACAAAGGGCTATCACGGCTCTTCATATTTTTATATGAATAAATATAAAAATATGAATCAAAATCAAAATCAAAATCAAATGTATTTATTCAACATAGGAGCATTACACTCACTTATTGATAGTCAAAACACTACCAACGAATATTTCTATAAGAATGAAAGAAAAAGTTTTAATCGGAATCTAGCACTGCAATGCCGCTAATTTTTTGTATCACTGTCCGAGTAGTCAATACCATCATCGTCATCATCATCACTGCTGCTTTCCTCCATAGAGCTTTTGCTTTCTACGTTTCTCGCGGATGAAATCGCATGGAACAGCTAGTAGACAGAAGTCTGGTCTAATAAATAAAATAAATAAAAAAATATTTTAGGACACACATTTTTACACAACATTCTCTAGTAACTAAGCAACACTTGTACTATGGGTACTAGATAACTGATAAACATAACTTTTCTTTTGTAAATAAATACATATTTACACATATTGTTTATATGCCGTGATAGCTCTGTGTCCGGGAGCTCGCCTTTAATTCAATATACTCGAGCAACCTGAGTTCGATCCCCGGTGCCGGCACCAATGAAGTTTTTAACTTTAATTGCTGAATTATCACGTGCTCCGCGGTGAATGAAAACATCGTGAGGAAACCTGCATATTTTCGAAATAATAACAAAAAAAACATTTTTCGAAGATATGTGAAGTCCGCCAATCCGCAGTGGGGCTGCGTGGTGGACTATGCTCTGTATAGAGGAGGCATTTGCCCAGCAGTGGGACATGTGGCTGTTACTTTACTTTTTTACATATAAACCATACCCAGGCACTAGAAAAACATTATATTCATCACACAATATTTTTCCAGTAGTGGGGAACGAGCCCACACAATCTGGCGCAGAAGGCAGGTACACTACCCACTACGCCATTCGGGTTGTCAATCCTTCTATTATACATAAAACTTTTTTCACTGTGGTAGTGAAACGCAGCAGTTTCTGTTGCACGAATGGGCATCGTCCGGGGAAGTACCGCGGCCTCCCAGGAGACCAGCGTGAAGTGGAAGTTAATTTAACTTTCGCGTTTTGTCTGATGAGTGAGGTAATCGGGGCCCATTTTTAGTATTCCTTACCCAAAGGGTAAAACGGGACGCTATTACTAAGACTCCGCTGTGTGTCTGTCCGTCTGTCACCAGGCTGTACCTCATGAACCGCGATGGTTAGACAGTTGAAATTTTCACACATGATGTATTTCTGTTGTCGCTACGACAACAAATGCTAAAAAATAGAATAAAAAAATATTTTATTCGGGCTACCATACAACATATATGATTTTTTTGCCGTTTTTATGGATAATTGTACGGAATCGTTGGTGCGCGAGTCTGACTCGCGATTGGCTGGTTTAGATGTCCACGGGCGGCGGTAATCAGGTGAACCGCCAGCTCGCTTGGCAACTTTTCGCATAAAAAAATCGTAACATTCAATTTATTTTTTAATTTAGTGTACTAACTAACTTCTAGTACACAGGCACACACACACTAGTACAAAGGCAGACTTAATGCCAATGGCATTTTATGCCAGTCAACCTCAGGGTGGAGTAGAGAAAGTTAGTTGCACAGATAACGCGTAGAACGATACACGATTATTCATATATTAATGTATGTTGATTTAACATACATTAATATATGTCTCGTATGAGATTGGTTATGAACGTTCCGCCCGCTCTGTATGCAATCGATTTTTCGTCAGACATTATTTATTTACATCCGACATTGGAGTGGACAATTGGATGTCACAAGTGCTGAACGTTGGATTCGTAGCTAGCATTATTATTCGCTATTCTATCCTGCTTTGATATTTGTATGGATAATTGCTTTCTATCCATCTACGCTATAAATAGCTACATATGTGTAATAATGAGCGTGTTGTTTTGTTTCAATTTATTACATCGGTGAAGTATGTTGTGTCTACTTCACGCTTCAGTTGCAATAAGATCTAATTGTAATAGCGATCTAATTGTAAGAACAGATGGAATATAAACCAGTTTAAAAACGGTTAATATGTAGCTACTAGAAATTAAAATTTTTTATAGTGCTACTCCGCACGTAAGATTAAACATTAAAATTTGTAGAAAAATTGGCTTAGTGGCTAAAGCGTCAGGCCGCGAATGCCGAAGACGTGGGTTCTATTCCCATAGCGGCGCCAATCTTTTCGTACTTTTCCTACAAATTTTAATCTAGCCACTGGTTTAGTGTGCAATATATAAATAGATGAGTAAGTGTTGTCTATGCTTGTACATGTTGTGGCTAATTTGGGCCTCTAAATCCGAGTGCGTTCCACAGCGCGCGTCTCGAGGAAGCCGCCCAGGGCTGCGCCCCCGCCGCGCAGGGCTGCGCCCCGGGCCGCGCGCCTCCGCTCCGCCTCCGCCGGCAGGGACAAGCGCTCCGAGCTTCGGGCGAGATACTGGGCCCTGCTCTTCGGCGACCTGCAGCGCTCCGTAAGTCGTGACGTCACGTTCTCTGTTGCAAGAGTGGGCAGGTCCGTTCGGGGAGGTGCCACGACCTCACGGGAGATTGGCGTGAAGTGGCTAATTTTTATTTTTGCTTTTATAATGTTTCATCTTAAGTGCAGACAGGGCCGGAAGAGGGGCCCCCACAATAGATACTTCGGAAAAAAATATCAAATTCAGACTAGTAAACAATAGTATACAACTTTTCCTTTCATATTTTTTTTCGCGTTTTAACTTTTACGTACAGTACTTTGTACAAACATGATTACATTAAATATTAAGAGAAATCAATAGAAAATAATTAGGGGGCCAAGGGGCCTCCTCTCCTTTGTTGGCCCGAGGCCTCCAGACCTCTAAATCTGGCCCTGAATGCAGAGATTAGCAATGTGTAAGTATATATTTAAACAGTCAGTTAAGCGTTAAGTGAAGTCTCTAAGTGCGACTGTAGAGATTTTAGTCTGTTGTTAGTCTTTTATTGTTAGTCTGATGTTTATTATTGATAAAAGTTCATTTTTTTCACGTTCTGTAAAGTTTTTTTTTTTGACATTTTGCATGTATTTATACATATAAATTAAATTTTATTATAGCTCGGATTTTTACGTTGGCAATCACACGGTGACAGGACTGGATAGTGACGTTAATTTAAGTTTTGTTTAAAAAGGGACAGCTATACAATAGAAAGAGTTAGTTGAAGTAAATCATTCATTTCATTCATTATCATTGGTTATACAGTGATTAGCTAATTTTTCTTAAACAAACCTTCCAGAAACCCAAGGGAGTTTAACAAGAGATTAACAGCTGATCATTTTTGACATAGTGTTATGTGATTGCTGCTTTAATTGGCCTTTCGGAAACTGGGCATAAGTGCGACCGTAGAGATTTTATTCTGTGATAGGGACACGCAGCGTCTTCTGGTGTTACGAATGGTAAATCGGTGCGAAGTAGATGCGTTGATATTGTGTGTTACAGTGCTACTGTAACACTTACTTTGAATATGTTATAATTTCTTATATATTTTAAATACTATACATATTCTGCTTGTGGAATGAACTTCCTCGGCAAATTCGCCGTTCGAAGACGCTAGACAAGTTTAAAAATGACGTAAAACAACACTATCTATCGCTTTGTAATCCATAGTTTTTAATGGCAATATTCGGATTTAATTCATCTCTCGTGTATTTATTTATGTTATTCATATATATTATATATCTATTTGTGTATGTTTATGTATGTTTATTATATATTTTTTTATTTTATTATATTTAAGTCTATTTTGGTATTAAGCAAGTTTATTGAGCACCCCACCTCCCACTATTCATTAGTTTATTTTTCCTCGTCCTAAGGTTGTCTGGAAGAGATCGCTTTTTAGCGATAAGACCTCCTTATTGTACCTAGCTTTTAAGACTTATTTTATACTAATTGTATCAAATTCTTTGTGGTGTACAATAAAGTATACAATAATAATAATAATATTGCTATTACGCATTCATTTTTAATTTTATTTCTGTAAGTTTCAAACATCTTTACAGCGTTAATGGGTACGGGACAGACAGAGGCGTCGGACGTCTGAATACTGTCAGTTTTTTAACCGACATCAAAAGGAGGACGTTCTCAATTCGACTGTATTTTTTTTTTAATTTGTTCACTCATCGACTGAGTGAACGGATTTTGATGGTTCTTTTTTTTTATTTGAAAGCCGGTGCTTCCCGTTTGGTCCCATGTTAATTTCATTGGTATTAGACCTTAGGTTCCGGAGATACTTAGGGAAATCGATTATAAAATGAATACAGAGCGAGATATTTGAAGTCGGTTTTTTTTTCGTTATTAAATATTAATTTCGTGTCGATCTACCCAGAAGGCGCCAAATTAGTGTCTTGTAGTAGTCGTTCGTCTGAGGATGGATTTAGTTCCATTAGTGACCGGATCCCAGGCTATTGTTAACTTAACTAATGTTACAATGCACTTGCTCGGGAATCGAACAGTTTTAGAGCGAGCGAAACTGCGGCGTGTCCTATCGTCTAGACGGGGTCAGAAGGGAGCGGGTATCGATTTTGAGCTATAAATAGACGACAATGGAGCAGCTTTTCGTCTGGCAGACATGCGCTTCAACTACGACCTCTGGAAGAAAATGAAATAGGTATAAGAAAACATCTAGATACAATTTCAGTCTCGAATTATTGAAATTCTTTTGTTACCAAAGTTTTTAAAGTAAGCGAGCGATTTATGTACTTTTTTATGAAATAATTTCATTCTTTTCTACATTAATATGATTCGGTGTAAAATGTTTGTACTGGTATTCTCTGTTAAGAAATATAAAGGCTGGCAAACACTGACTTCTGTTGTCGTCGTCCACATGGGCCCATAAATAATGTACTCTGTACGGAACACTCTGCACTTAAGATGAATTTAAAAAATTTGTAGAAAAATGGCCGAAAAGATTTTCGACGCTGCGAATATTTGAACCTACGTCCTCCGGTATACTGGAGCTAAATGCCACTGAGCTGAATGGCTTATCTTCACACCGACGAAAATATCAACTTATTTTATCTACTTTGTTTCCTATAACATTTTCAAGCAATGTTTTCTCGTCATTTTGCGTGTTTCCTTTATCAAATAAAACTTTGCAATGGAATAATGGTCAGTTCTTGATAGAAAAATATAGGATTGAAATAATACTTTTCAAAAAAATATATCTATTTCCAAGGGGGGGGGGGGGGGGTTTGAACTTCCCAAGTTTGACGTCTGTTGTATTCTTAGATGTATTTTAGATTGCAAGTAAAGTAATTTTAGCCTGTTTAAGTGCCTGACAGAAACTACGAATGTGATTTAAAGAGTGCTCGGAGTTTCAATTTCTTCACATTAGTCCTGAAGGTTTGTTCCGTGAGAACAGCCCAGCGCGAATATCGACCCGTCGCCCCCAAGATATATATAGATTGGCTGTTGCAAGGCCGCAAGGCGATCGGCAAGTCGATTTTCCTGTATTGAATATTTTATGACCCTGCACGGGCCTCCAGGGAACCGCCAGTCGTGGCTCAACTGGCTCTAAGGAGTTTCCCTGTCTGTTCCGATTACTTCAATTTTATATTCTAACACCATTGGATATTAGAAGCTAAGGATATTTGCAAATGATATATTTAGGAAGTAATATAGGCTTACTGACGAAAAGAGAAACAATCTTAGGAGTATTAACTTTTAATTCGCTAGCGATTAAGAAACTTGTTACATAGTAAAGTACAGCATTAAAAAGCCAATACTACAATGAATAATACACATTTTATGTTTAAATGAACGATATATTTTTCAGGTCGGCGAAATCTACAATACGGTGGAGGCCCACGAAAATCTTAACGAGTGCCAAGAAGTGATATTAGTGCTAGAGAACTACACCAGGGACTTCAAAGCTCTGGGGGAGTGGTTCCGACTGAAGTGGGAGTACGACAACACACCGCCGCCGCAACGGCCCCAGAGCTTAGCGTGGGAGATCAGAAAGACTGATTTCGTCAGACCCGAGTCCAGACGTACACATTCCGTAAAAAGTTCCCCCTCTGTGTCCGGCACGAATAGCCCTTGCTTTTCCGGACACAACACGCCCAGTGGCAAGAACAGCCCCAACTTAACGGGCAAAGCTAGCCCCGGCAGCGGCAAAATCAGCCCGAGGATTTCTGCATGCCATTCCAGCACAAGTCCGAAAGCGAGCCTAGAGTTTTTCTCCAACAAATGTGTAGTATCCAAAATGACCACGAAACCAGAGCCCAAATCTGCCAAAGAACCAACGAGGCTTTCGGACATTAAAGAGAAAGATATCCGAGAAACGGACGAGAAAAATGTGATGGAACCGGAACAAGGCGATCATAAAAATGGTGTCGTCGATTCCGAAAGTTCCAAAGAAGTCAAGAACGACCGCGAGGAACTTAAACAAATCGTAACCGTCGAAATAGGAAAAGCTAAAGAACTACCAAACGTGTGTCCTAATCCAGTTGTTATAAAATCACCAAAATCGAAGATGAATTCGGGAAATGTTAAAAAATCGTCTAAGTCAGAAATTTCGAAACAAGCAAAACATACCATATCTCAATTGGAGGCTATGGAAAACGAATTTTTAGCGAAAACTATAACAGTTCTTAAGGCAAAGAATGATAATTTTTTTAATAAAGAGAAGGAATTTGAAATAAATAACACCGGTAACATTAAGGAATACAACTTTAATATAAAAAATTCCATAGGTGATAAAGACAGTTTATTGGTGGAATCTCCGACAAAGTCAGAGGAGAATTTTGCTGACGTATCTAATGAGAGCTCGCCTGAATGTATCGTTGATAAATCAGAAATATCCTCACAGTTAGTAATTGAAACAAATACCGCATTACATGAAGAGTTAACAAGTGAAACGTCGAAAACAACAGGCTTAGTTGCCATTAGCGAAACAATTGAACACAGATCAATACAGAAGAATGGAGAACTTTTAAATGGAGATATTTTAAAAGAGACAGATTCCAGTGCCATAGTAGATATTACTTTAGGATTGAACACTAAAGACGAGAATCCGTCAGAAATAAAAAAGGAAACAGATTCTATAACCAAAAATGCATTCACAGATGATGAATATAAGGAGGATAAAAACGAAATAATTAAGGAAAATTCGAATAATCAACATGATAATACGGTTATTGGAAATAACAAAGTTAAAGTAAATGGTTTACTAAACGACCATGATCGTTTGGATGAACCCGAAGAAGAATCGAAAGTCAATGAAAAACTTGTGCAAGATAATGATAAAAATAAGGAAAAGACTAATTTAAATGATGCTAAAAGTAACACCAAAGATTCGAAACAGATTAAAAAGCCCCCTATAGAGGCGAAAGATGAAGTAAAAACAGAGCAAGACGTAAAAAAGCCAGAAACAAAACCAAATGTAGAATCAAAGACTATCGTCAAACCTGCTTATTCTCAAGCAGCTGCTAAACCTAAGCCTACCAATACACCTAAGGTAGAAGTCAAAACACCTACACGCACCGCACTTGTCAGGAGCTCCACTGTCGTCGAGATGCGACCAAGTACCGCCCCGAAATCTCAAAGACCGTTCCAGAAAAGGGCTCAAGCAAACAAGTGCAGTTATCCCTTTAACCTGACAACAAGCCGTATCACCGTCTTCGATATGCCGTCGCTCACCGTAGCCAAGGCACCCTTGCCTAAGCGCACGACCAATAGAAATTTACAAATGGCCTCCGGTGATGCGAAAGCTTCCTCTAACAAAGCAGAGCCGAAACAACGCCATCAAAGGTCTACCTCCTTGAAGATGAATGAGAGTGGGAACAAGAAAGAGAATCACGACCCGACTTTGGGAATGAAGGACGACGATCAGTATGGCAGCTGCGACACTGTTGTAGCTCAGGTCGATGGCTCACCAATCGAGTCGAGCGATAGCGTCCAAACTCTAGTGTCAGCTGATCCTCATCTGGAGGATATCAACTACACGATCGAGTTCCTGGACCTGGACGGCGCGAATAACGACAACGAAGGATGGCTGACCGTGAAGTCGCGGCGGCTCAATAGGGAGTCGAGGAAGCTGTCGAAATCGCTTTGGGCCAACAGGTTCAACCAGCCGTCGGCCACAACCAGTTTGCCGACGCTGAACATTATGTCACCCAAGGAAGAACCCGACGCCGTAGTAGAAGAACCACCCAAGGCAGCGATGACGGATCGCGCCAAATCCGAGCAGCCAGAGAGAGCGGTTAAATCGGAAAGCGTCGATGAGGCTAAACCACCGGCGCAGAAGGAAGACAGCAAGCCGAAGGATCCGTTTATGATCCGACAGAAGTCCGATGTCACCGGCTTGAAGACCAAATCTTCCAGGAGCAAAGTGCCGGCCAAGAAAGCGGAGCGGTTAATGGACACAGCCAACGACGAGGAACAGGCGGAGCTGACGAAGAACAGGCTCCACTCCTCGCTCGAGAGCCTACCCACGGGCCTGGCGAGGTCGCAGGAGAGCACTGAAGACGCCTTCGACTTCGACAAGTGGAGGGAGGAGTTCAAGGCAACCTTCAAGTACCTGGACGACGACGACCACATACCGGACCACGACGAGATCCTGATGAGCGCCGATCCCTCCGAGATGTCCGAGATCGCCGAGATGACGTCGCAGATAGAAGAGAACGAGAGGAAGATAAGCTGGGCCCTGGACTTCCAATCGGAGGTCGACCAGCAGAAGCTTTGCGAGGAGGAGGATCTGTTGAACAGGCAGATAATGGAGTTGCAGCAGGTCTCCGATATCGATCTGGACACTGAGACAGATGACACTGAGGTGAGTAATTTTTGCAGGTTTAATTGAATGATAAGTGTTATTGTTATTTGTTATTCTTTTTTAAACATTGCCCTCACCTTAGGATAGCATTATCCTGTGTTGTAAGGATATTTTACAAACATAAATTCCACCTGGACAAACACCCAGTTGCGAAATAATTATTTGTGGGTCACACAAAAAGTTGTCCCGTGTGGGAATCGAACCCACGACCCCCGACGCCGAAGCCAATACCTTGGCATCGTCGCCACGGAGTGTGACTGTGAACACTATTTTTTTACGAACAATGTAAAAAGAGTTATGTTATAAGTTTGACGTGTCTGTCCCTGTGTGGCATGTAAATTGCGTACGATAAGTAAATATTTATAACAAAAAACTTGTAGAAGAACGTTTGTGTGTTAAAGGCTATTATAATATTAGTGATTATATAAACATAACACACTGCAGGCTCTTTCAAGTTGAATTCAGTGTATTGTACTTTTTTTTTTATATTTTTTGTCAAACTATGTTAAAAATTGATTGTTCCGCTGAGTTTCTTTCGCCGGTTCTTCTCAGGTCATTGACTTTTCTGGACCTATAGTAGTGTTTTGACAATCAATAAGTGAGTGTAATGCTCCTATTTTGAATAAAGATATTGAATTTGAATCCATTTGGGAATGTTTTATTAAATTATTGACGACTCGTTTGGCGTAGTGGTTAGTGAACCTGCCTCTTGCGCCGGAGGGTCTGGGTTCGATCCCCACTACTTGAAAAATATTGTGTGATGAACATAGTGTTTTTCCAGTGGGTGTTTATGGGTGTTTATATATGTATAATATGTATTTATTCACAAAAAAAGTACGTTTAGGAATGTGTTTTCTAGTACCATAACACAATCCTTGCTAAGTATGGGACTAGAGAACGAAGTGTAAAAATCGAGCCCAAAAATATTTATATTCCTTTTAAATATAGTATTATATAAGTGTTATATATATAAGTATTTTCGAATTTTCGAAATAATAACAAAAAAATATTTCGAAAATACGTGAAGTCCGCCAATCCGCAGTTGCGTCGCGTGGTGGACTATGCCCTGATGCCCTCTGTACAGAGGGGGCCATTGCCCAGTAGTGGGACATTTATAGGCTGTTACTTTACTTTACTTTTTTTTTTGAAGTTATACTTCTTTTGCCGCGTTAGGCAAAAATGATGAGGGTAAATTTTTAAGATGCGCGCGCAAGACCGTCACGAAAAACCGACACCCGTTAGCTAGACATCTACACATGTTTACATGAGGACTGACAACTGTGTTCACGATATTAATTTTGTGATATTTAAATAAACTTTATTTAACTAGATAATACGTTATAACAAAATCTATTGAATACCTTTTTTTCTATTGTTAGTGTCGTTTCCTCCACAAACTTAGAATAAGGCGAAGGATGAAAGTTTTGAAAAGATTTCTATCACGTCACGCCAAAGAAGTATAACCTCTGACGCGTGTACATAAGTACACACAGACACACACCGCTCGCAGACTGATGCGGAGATCGTGTGCGAGGACGCCGCCGTGGCGGCCTGCCCATCGGAGACCCTGGGCGCGTTGGCGGCCAGCCTCGAGGACCAGTACGAGACGGCGCTGGCCGGCATGTCCTGGGCGGAGAGGGTGGACACCCTGGTGGTGCTGGAGGCCCTCGTCGCCAGGGATCCCGGTGAGAGCTCCCATCCCCGTCAATTTAGCTGCACACGATCGGTTCGATTCTTAATCTAGTTAATATTGAGTTCTTGAACAATTTTCCCTATATAAATAGATCACACAAACACTTGTCCTGTGTGGGAATCGAACCATCAATTATCGTTATTTATACATTTTTCATTGTGTTTATTTATAAAAAGAAAAATATGTTTGAGTATGTTTATCAGTTATCCATAGAGCAAACTTTGTGTAGTTTGGGACTAGATAATACTGTTTAAAAATATGTTGTTTAATTTATATTTACTTATTAAGGCTAAATAAATACAGAACATTGACATACAAATAGGTTTAACTTAATCATAAAGTTGCAACAATATAATTATGTTCATATTTAAATTACAGGTTAATTTAAGTTATTCAACACTACAAAACAAACTTGAATTAGAGAACAGAAACTTACTTAACTAAAAAAAATATCTCGTCTCTGAGAAATGAAAATATAAAATATTAATATTAAAAAAAAAGTAACATCGCGCTTGATTGATCGATTTCTGTTGTGACCTTGACTCCCGGTGCAGGAAGGGCGCAGCAACTCCACGCCAAGCTGTCCCAGGGCATCAAGAGACGTGGCAGCTTGCAGGATGCTTTGAGGAGGTTGGTTCTTTGAATGCTTCGGCTTCCGATCCTCCAGCTCTTAGTGTTTAGGCCTGATAGTAGTAGTAGTATCGGGAATGGAGCCATGATACTTTTTATATACTTTTAGGTTCATTGATGATTTTCCTTCCTATTATAGGAAACTTAACTGATATTTGTACAAGCTATTTATCTTATCCTTTAAACGAGCAATTCTTAATATTATATATATATATATATATATATATATATATATATATATATATATATATATATATATATATATATAATCGGAATCTCGGAAACAGCTCCAGCGATTTTCGTGAAATTTAGTATGTGCGTAGATTCGGGGGCGAAAAATCAATCTAGCTAGGTTTCATTTTTAGAAAATGTCCTTTTATCCCTGTTTTCAGGTAATGAAAAATAACATTCAGATATGACAGTAAATTTCGCCGCAAAAAAAAAAAATGTTATAATAGCTCGGTCGGTAATCGGGCGGCCCCAAAACAGACGGCCGCGGTTCGTATCACGATCATTTACATACTTATTTTTTTTTTACTTTTTTTTCTATATCAGGTCATTTTCTTTATTTTTTATTACCAAAATACACGATTTACCAAAAAAAAAACGAGCAAAGCTCGGTCCTCCAGTTACTAATAACAATAAGTGTTGTGTATACTGTACGTTTCTCAAATAAATAAATAAATGGCCCATTGTTCGGGCGCTCGCTTTTATTTCAATATACTCGAGCGACCCGAGTTCGATTCCCGGTGCGGGCACAGACGTCACTGTTGCACGAATGGGCAGGTCCGTCCGGAAAGCACCACGACCTCACAGAAGAGCGCCGTGAAGTGGAAGCGTTGTACTCCTGCGTTTCGTCTGGCGAGTTAGGTGGCAGGCACTTTATTGAAAGGTGGCAACGCATCTGCAACCCTACGCGTGTTGCAAATAGCCACGGGCGGCGGTTATCACTTAACATCAGGTGAACTGCCAGCTAGGTTGCCACGTTTTCACATAAAAAAGTGCGTGGAGTCCCTCTGCGCGGGAGAAGTGAAACTTCGAGTGCCACGCATTCACTCTCGCCCTGTCTCTTAATAGCTACCTTAATGGCAAGGGCACCTACTATAATGTCCAAGAATACATCGAGGACAAGGATGGTTGGAAATGACTCTTGCTCTGCACTTACAAGACCCCTGGCTGCTGCTGATTTTATACCTAAATTAATGTGTATAATTGCATCAAAAAAAAAATAACAAAAAGAACAAGACCGCAGAGTTTCTTGCCGGTTCTTCTCTGTGCAGGTCTAGTTTAGTGAACCGGTGGTAGATTTTTTGTTGACGTTCAATAAGAGCTTAAGTTAAGCCTATATTGAATAAATATACTTTGACTTTGAATCTTTCTATTCCCCCTCCCCAGGAGCGTTGGACGTTTAACGCAGCAGTGCTTTCATATCTCCTCCTAGGTAGCGTTAAACGTTCAACGCAACCTTGGTCGCATTAGAAGTTGGGAGTCGCATTAGTAATATATAATAAGTTATAAAAATAAGTTTTACTTCAAAACATAATATTATTAAGGTAGCCTTGGTCCACTTCTTTATTAGGCAGCAACGCATCTACAACCCTACGGATGTTGCAAACATCAATGGGCGGCGGTTATCGCTTAACATCAGGTGAACCACCTGCTCGCTTGCCACCTTCTCAAAAAATGTCTGACGCTTCCTCACCAGACTCCAAGCGAAGCAGGCGCGAGCGGAGCGCCAAAGGAACGAATACCAGACAGAGAGGGCGAAGAAGATCCACCAGTTGCTGGCGCGCGTCGAGGAAGTCAAGGTACTGGATTCGGCATCAGCAAGTGTAGCTCCATGTGAGAGGAGTAACCCTAAAGTATATTCGTTAAGTTTATCAAGAAAATGTTGAATGGAATATGGATAGAATAGAAATGATCTATTCAAGACATCACACAACACCAATTAACAAACGAGAAACGTAATTATAGTACAGAGTATACAAAAAAGCAAACAATTGTCGGATGGAAAGATTTGCATTTATTAATGTAAATTGTTATTGAGTAAAGAACTGGAGGGAGAGAACAGAGCCTAGTGGAATCCACTTTTGAACTAAGGATTATCTGCGTGTTGTTTTTAAATAAAGAAAAATACTTTTTAAGGTCAAAGAAAACGTTAATTATCGAAATTGCTTGTTCAGGTGGCGAAGAACCAACTGATAGAAGAGAAGAGACTGAGAATGGAGAGGCGCCTGGAGAAGGCGGCTGAAAATCGAAATCAGTATCTGAAGGTACGTTGTTAACTGATCAGCTGGAATTAGTCAATGCGTAGTAAAAGTAAAAAAGTAAACCTACCTGCCTATACAGGGAGGCTTTTTAAGTTTATCCATTTTTTTTTATTAAATTCTAGACGTAAATAATGTTATATAAAAATGATAAATATTTAAAATCTCTCGTAACTAATTAAATACATTCATTTGAACTTATCTCAAAAAGTGCGTGATTTATGGGCAACTCATTTATTTTACACGCGATCATTCATAACTAACACGCACACAAGTGCGTATCAAAAGTATACGACGCATTTATGAATGACTATCGCATTGTCAACAAGTTCTGTTTTTGAGGGATTGGAATGAAATTTTTTTGGAAAAAAAATGTTTGTTTTAATTTCAGTAAACGATTATACTACATACTGTGTGAATTTGGGCACCTTTAGAAAAGCCACCTTGTACATGTCCCACTGCTGGGCAAAGACCTCTGTACAGAGGATATCAGGGCATAGTCCACAACAAACTTCACACACTTTTGAAAGATTCTTAATTTCTTTAATTATTACGAAAAATGCATGTTTCCTCACGACCTTCCACGTCTGGACACCGAGCTATCACAGCTGCGCAATTGCTCGGTCTCGCGAAATGTTGGAAAAGTTGCACGGAGGTGGCTTCAATGCTATATTTGACACTGACCTACGGGTGGACTCGGTCTCCGACCCCCGGGCCGGTCTCCGACCCCCTCCCGCCCGTCCGCAGGACATCGTGCGGAAGGCGCACGACGAGGAGGAGAAGCTGCGCGAGATCGCGTTCATCACGCAGCTGCAGGCGCAGCACCGCCGGCACGACTTCCTCGCGCAGTGCCGCGACCACACCGCCCGGCTGCGCGCGCTGCGCCGCGACCGCCTCCGCAAGCTGGTCGGTTGGCTAGCTGCCGCTCCTCACCGACTACTCCTCACCGGCGACTCCTCGCATTACACTCTGCACTTACACCTGTCACTACTCACCTGTCACTCTTCACTGGACACACCTTACCGATCGCTCCTCATTTGCCACTCTATTGTCTATTTTTCCATCTTGATCTTTTTGTAATGCCGCTGGTAGTATGAGATGGTAATTTAATCTTTCATTGTATTATGTTTATTAAAAACAAATTTAATATTCATAGCGACCTAAAGGGGAATTTACTTTAGCTTTGTCTGCTTTATCGAATCCGGAAAAATTAAGTGGGCGGGGAATTTAAAAGGAGCTAACGCGCGTCCTTGCGGGACACACCCTTGCCATATAGCATATAATTACCGTTTTCTACATTCAATCACATACACACATTATCACGATTGCGACAAAGGGACAGCGACATGGCAGCTTTCGAGAACCCCCGCTCATCATATTTATCGCCACGGAAGAGCGGTGCGAACGATCGAATGCTTCATCGAGAGCGAATGTGCTCGTAGGAGGAGAAGAAACGGTTCATCGAGTTACTGCGTTTACGGTATTGCGTTATTTCACTAAGAGCGGTTTGTGTTCAACTGTGGTAGGACCACGCAATAGTGTTCACTGTTGCACGAATGGCCAGTTCCATCCGGGTTAGTACCACGACCCTACAAAAGAGCGGCGTGAAGTAGAAGTGTTACACTTCTGCGTTTCGTCTGACGAGTGAGGTAGGCAACGCATTTGAAACCCTACGGGTGTTGCGAATGTCCATGGGCGGCGGTTATCACTTAACGTCTAGTGAACCGCCACTTTTTCACTCGAAAGGAGGAGAAGGCGGCGCGCGAGGCGGCGGTGGGCGCGCGGCGACTGGCGCTGGAGGAGGCGCGCCGCAGCCGCGTGGAGAGCCTGCTGCAGCGGCGGCGGCTGCGCGACGAGCGCGTGCAGGGGCTGCGCGAGCTGCGCCGCCAGGAGCGCGGCGACGCGGCGCGCGAGAAGGTGCGCGAGCAGCGGGCCGCGGCCTCGGCGCCCCTGCCCCCTGCCCGCTGCCCGGCTCACGACGCGCCCGTCCGCAGGCGGAGGGCGTGCGCTCGCGGCTGGTGGCGCTGGCGGCGGCCGCCGAGCTGGAGGCCACCGCGCTGCGCTCGCGCATCCGCCGCAAGCAGGACGCCAGCCGGCAGCGGCTCGAGCTGCACCTGCGCGCGGTGCGCGAGAAGGCCACCGGCCCCCAGAAGCCGGTTAGAACAACTGTTCGTCCGACCGACTTGTCCTCATTGCACACATTCCTTGGGAACGAACGATCGTCCGTGGGTCACACGGACACTTGTACCGTGTGCTAATAGAAGTCAATGCTACTTGCCAACTGCACCACGAACTCATCATCGAGTGGTGATGCAATCACCTAAACTCTATATTTTACAATTAACATTTCTTTCGGCACGTTTGGAGAAAATTATTACGAGTGAATTCTTACCTTGCACGATGTTACTATCAAGGTGAATAACAAGCTTTTCGACATATTCATAATTTACAATACATTCATAATTTCAAGCTATTTAACTACACCGTCATCGATTGCATTTTAATGTCTTCCTTTCTTATAACCAACGAGTACTGGCACACGGGATAAAATTTTTTGGTTATTTTTCCTAAAGAAATTCTTACATTCTTACATTTTATTTTATCTTATATTTTAAATTTCTTACATTCTATGTACGCATGCATTCACACAGTTCACACGCACCTTTTACTTTAAATTCTAGGATTATTACAATAACGCACCTATTTAATATAGTTAATAATAAAACATATACACCTAAACTTCTCTTTGAAACCCAAGGTCGACAAATACATTATGCTGAGGGCATTCAGTCCGTCTCTGTACATATATTTGTTTTTGTTTTTTTTTTTTATGTGAAAAGTTGCCAAACAAGCAGCCGGTTCATCTGATGTTAAATGAATACCGCCGCCCATGGACATCTGCTACACCCGAGGGTTGCAGATGCGTTGACAACCGTTTTGAAAATTGGGCTACGGCCACCTCGCTCACCGGACGAAACGCGAAAGTATTAGACTTCCACTTGACGCCGGTCTTTTGTGAGGTCGTGGTACTCACCCGGACGGGCCTGCCCATTCGTATTTTGCAGTTCCAGCACGATAAAATTTGTACTGTCACATCTCCAGACCACCGCCGACAGCTGCGAGCAGCCCAGCAGCGAAGAGGCGGAGGCCGAGAGGCTGGAGAGGGAGCGCCGCGAGAGGGAGAAGCAGAAGAGCATCAAGAGGAAGGCGAGGAAGCTGCGCCTCAAGTTGATAGCCACGTGGGTGTCTTGTTAATCACATTGTCTGTTGATTCGTTCTTTAGTTCATTCATTCATTCATTCATTCATTCATTCGTTCGTTCGTTCATTCGTTCCGACGACCCAATTGACTCTTTCTTTTGCGCCAGAGGTCGTGGGTTCGAACCCCACTACTGGAATAATATTGTGTGATGAACATAGTTTTTACAGTGTCTGAATGTTTATTATATTTATATTTATAAAATGTGTTTATATACGAAAAGTACATTTAAGTATGGTTATCAATTTATCAACTATCTACAGTACAAGCGTTGCTTAGTTTGGGAGTAGAAAACGTTGCGTAAAAATATGCCCGTTCCGATATCCCCAGCGGCAACGAGAGCCCCGCCCTAGAGGAGCACGCGTACGAGCCCCGCCCCAGCCCGCTCGCCGCCAAGATGCACAAGGCGGTGCAGCAGATCGCGCACGCCATCACGCCGCTGTACCGGGAGGCGGCCAGGGCCGCGGCCGACGCCAAGTCCGCCGCCGACGCCAAGTCCGCGGCCGCCAAGTCCGCGCCGGACTCGGAGTCCGCGGCGGCCAAGTCCGCGCCGGAGTCCGAGTCCGCGGCGGAGGCGGAGGCCGGCCGGCGGCGGCGGCGCGAGCGCGAGGCGGCGGCGCCGGCGCGGCTGCCCGACCCGCTCACGCTCGAGCGGCAGCTCAACGAGCTGCAGCGGCTCATGGACAAGTTCGACACGGTGAGCGGCTCGCTCATGCCCGGTCCCTATATTCAACGAACGGCCGTCAGTTACACGGCTCCGTAGCTTCCATAACGACTCATATCCTTGTCCTTGCTAATATTATAACGGCGAAAGTTTGTAACTCTTTCACGCAAAAACTTCTGAATGAATTTTTATAAAACTATACAATACAAACGTAGTCGCGGGCAGCAGCTAGTATTACATACATACGATATTTACAAACACTACAGTCATCACACAATATTCCACTAGCCGAGATCGAACCCACACCATTTGGCGCAAGAGACACGCTATCCACTACGCTAATTGGGAATAAACCGACTGATCTATAAGTCCGTACTTAAAAACAGTTTTTGCTCCAACTCGTAAACACGAAAAGATTACTCAAACATCCTCTAATTGTCTTCTCCGCAGAACACATCCGAGAAGATGACGATGCCGAAGATGCAAGCGCTCAAGGTGATCGGGCAGCTGTTGGCCCTGGCCGCCGAGAGGGAGGACCTGGCTGCACATTTCACCACCAAGTAACCGACCTAATTTAAAACGCTGCAATTTAAAAGAGCTTAGATCATTCCGAGACTTTTAGCTGAATAATAGATGCAATTTTAATTTTTAAAGTATATCAAGAGTACTCTCTTCTGTCGAACTCGACATCGTAGTTTGATATAGAATTCGAAGTTCTACCTTAAACCCTGTCCCGTCGCTAAGTGATGTGAGTTTTGAATTGCTGGACACTTTTCCGACACTAGCACCAAACTTGTACAAACATTAACAGCGTTCTGGTTTCGTACTCTGGATCGTACGAGAGGAACCTCATCACGGAACGGTGGTAGATTTAAAAAATGACTGTCGATAGATGTAATGTACATTTCCTATTTCGATGAATAAATGATTTAATTTGATCTGATTTGTATGAACGACCAAACGAATGAACGAATGAATGAATGAATGAATGAATGAATGAAGACGAACTAAGGTGCCGTTGTTGCGCAGGTCGCTGAGCACGTGCGTGGCGCTGGTGTCGCGCGCGGCGTGCTCGTGCAGCGGGCTGGGCGCCATGCTGCTCGGCACCGACGCGGCCGTGCACCTCGTCTCGCTGCTGCAGGCCACGCTGGTACGCCTGCCACCCCTCTGCCACCCCTCTGCCACCCCTCTGCCACGCCTCTGCCACGCCGCCTGCCACACCGCACTTACACAATCCCCGCCGCTCGTCTGTGCGTCTGTGGCGCTGGGCCCTCTGCTTCAGTACCCCACTACCTCACTCGCCGGACGAGACGCGACAGTATACCTCCTTCGCCTACCTCACTCGACCATCACCCTCCCACCACTAAACTCTACACACTATCACTTCCGCTTCACTCGCCGGCTACCCCACTCGCCGCTCGCGACAGTACACCTCGTGACAAGAAAACTATTTTAAGGTTTACTTTCAGACGTCAAGGGGGCTACCGTCAATACTTATCTGAGTTAACTATCACATTAAAACGTAAAACAAATCATTATGTCCCGTGACCTGATGCTGTTAAGGGTTCGAAACGTGGGGAATTTAAAAGTCTAATCGAACGCGATAAAATCCGCAAAGTAGCTACATTTCACAATAGAAAATCGACAGTATACCTCTACCAACTCACGCAGCTCTTCTATGAGGCCGTGACACTTGCAGACGAGCCTGTCACAGTGAAATAAGGGATCCCTTTGTACCCTAAAACGCATTCACCAAGCAGTTGCTAACTGCCTCGATTTAAACCTTAACGAAATATAGGATTTTTTTTGTACATAAGCGAACAAAAACTTGGCGCTATGGGAATCAAACGAGAATCGAGAATCTTGCGTACAAATACTAGCACTGAAAACAAAAATTAATTCTAAAATTAACGAAATACGGCAATCTCTTATGGCGAACTCGAAGTTATTAAATGAAACAGCTCATGAAAGTTTCATCGTATAATTTAATTTCACAGGGCGTTTCCAGTTATACCTTAAATACCAAAAATGTTAATAGCAGAAACTTAAAAATGGTAATCCAAGGAGGATTAGCTTTCTATCCCGCGATGTCCATTGGTTCTATATGTACAGGCTATTTTGTTTTCCTGAATATTTATATTCATAAATTCAGTAGAATTGAATGAAGCATGATTTTACTTTTCTCCCATTAATAAATTAACATTTAATCATAATTGAGTAACCAATTGAAAAATAGTTAATTATTTAATATCAAAAAATTCAAAATTTATTACCATCTTTAAAATCTTGTGTCTCGTGATATTACATTCTTCAACCAATGACAGTTCATCAATGAAAGATTAATTTATATCTGTTGTTGCAAAATTCTCTTTTGCAAATTCTCATATGTATAGATCTAACTGAATAACGTTTAACGATAACGTTAACCGGGAAAATGTTAATGTTTCATCTCTATTAACACATAGTATATTTATTTAAAAAGAAGACCGCCGTGAAGTGGGAGTATTATACTTTCGCGTTTCGTCTAGTGGGTGAGGTGACCTGACACATTTTTTAAAAGGTTGACAGATGTCCTGGATGTCCATGGGCGGTGGTTATTATTTAAGATCAGGTGATCAGGTTCACAAATTCTCACATAAACAGTAATATTATTATTACTGTTTACCTGAGTTTATATGCGAGATATTTCCAACTTTAAGTGAGTGTATTATCCGACCTTAATGCTAAATTAGGTAGAAGCACCTTTGCCTTATTATCTATGATGGTGTACAACAAGCTACCTCTAGTGTGTCAATAGGCAATAGGGAATGGTGTGTTTGTTACTGAAAAATGACTCACGCCCGGTTCCTGAAATGTTAACAAGGTTTATACTCTCTGAATTGATCAGAGTGATCTTCTTAAGGATCAATTCAAAGAGTTTAGCCATCATCTTGGCAACTCTTAGATTGATTCTTCTCCTTCTTAGTTAACATCTATGATGATCAGTGTTCCAGAAACCGGGCGTCAGTGCGGTAGTTTCTAAACAATTAGGCTTTTACTTGCGATTGCTTTCGAGTATTGAATTAAGTTGCAAAAGAGCTGGCGATTGCAAATTTTTGTTTGATCATTAATGTTGTCAAACAGTTGTACGCAAGGTAATAATTATATATATGTTTTTTTTTTTAATTTTGCGGCTTATCCTTACTAATATTATAAAGGTGAAAGTTTTTATGTATGGATGGATGTTTGTTACTCTTTGACTGACTGACACTTGAAATACTACTGAAACTTTATTACTAATAGTGGTGGGCGATACATATCGTATCAGATATGAAAACTAGATGTTAGTACAATATCCGAATATCGCTTACTGGCTCGTTCAATATCTATGTATTTTACAATATCTGATATTTCCGAAATCTGATGTACCGTGCTCGCTCGCTATACCGACACGAATCGCGATATCATACGCGTTTGCCACAATATCTGATTTTTAAACAGATTTCGAGAGACAAAGCGCGTGAGATACAAATACTCACTAGTTAGAGCGGGACGGCAAGCAATGCACGATATCAGATATCGAGCGACAAAGCGCGTGAGATATAAATACTCACTAGTTAGAGCGGGACGGCAAGCAATGCACGATATCAGATTTTTAAACAGATTTTGAGCGACAAAGCGCGTGAGATACAAATATTACACTAGTTAGAGCAGTACGGCAAGCAAGGCACAATATCAGATTTTTAAACAGATATTTTGAATAAGTTAAGTAATTTTGAATCTTAAAACCATGTCAATAAGATCCGTTTCAATTAAATACTAATCATGGTATCAACGATTACTACAACGATATTATTAAGTATATTTTTATTGTTTTGTTTAGCCTTGAGCCGTAACGGTCGACAAAGCGCGCAGTTAAGTAATTTTGAATCTTAACAGCATGGAAAAAAACATTTTTAGTTGCATTTAAATACGAATTACGGTATTAAGGATGTCTTTAAATTTTGTTTAACCTTGTGCTGGATTGCATTGGTACTTATCACGTAATAGTAAGGGATAAGTTGGCACTTACTAGTTAAGAATTTTCTGCCTAAATTAAGGAAGAAAAATATAAATGGAAATTTTTTAGGAAGTAAATTTTTTGTGAATATTTTTATTCGTTAAATTTTATTCATATTTTTGGAAAAAAAATAAAACTACACAAAAAAAGAAAAATATAATTTAATAGTGCTGTGCTGCTTGGGTGGAATCAGACCAAGGCTTATGTGCTTTGTGTGTATATTTTAAATTCTTCCGCCCTAAGTTATAATACTGAATGTATTATTTCTTACACAAATTATAAAAATATTGTCACTCATGATTGCGTGTTTTATAAATATGTTAAACTCAATTATTAAGCGATATATAAGATGTTGAAATAAATCATTTTTATATTACTTCAATTTCTATTTTTAATGAAATTTTTAATTTAATCAGGTAATGTTTTAATTTTACCTTAATAGTATAAAAAAAAGGGTGATTTTAAATTCAGTAAGGTTTTTGAATTGAGTCCATTTTAGTGGGTTTTCGAATTTATTTAGAAGTATTCTTTTTGAACAGTTGGTATCACTGGTAATAGCTTTAGTTATGTATAGGTATAAGATCGTCGACGATTAAAGTCAATGAATGAATGAATGAATGAAACCCGAATGAATGAAAATTATTAACCCACACATTTTAAATACGCCTTCACAATATATATATATTTTTTTTTATTATTTTTTTTTTTTTTAGAATTCAAGGTGGATACGGGACTGTAAAATATCTAGATATTAAAATAAATAGTTTCGAAATCTGATATTTGAAATCGAAATCTGATTCAGATACGGTACTCAGAAAAAGCGATACGACCCATCTCTTTAAAGTGGGCCACGGCTACGATCACTCACCAGACGAATCGCAGAAGTTTAATTTATTGTATTTGCCCCCGGTTCCGCCGATCTTCTGCAAGGTCGTGGTACTTATCCGTACTTGCCCATTCGTGCAACAGAGAAGACTGTTTCCCCTACCACAGTTTGTTGAGTAGATTTGGTTAATGTTGTACCGATTTGGCAGCTTGTTACTGCACTGCTCGGTTCCAAAAATTAATGATGATTATGATGATGGCTTTACGTCGCCGTTCTCAGCGACCTACTGCGTTCGCGGTTGACATTCGATAGCGCGATTCAATACCGCTCAGCGACATCTGTCGGCGGAAGGCGCGAACGACATTATTTTTAATTTTTATTTTCTTACAATTATTACAGATTTATTTCATGTCAATTAAATGTGGCCGTAAAATTGTAATCTTGAACGGGGATCGGACTAAAATTATTATGCTATCAAGTTATTGATTTTGCGATGTAAAAATAATTTTCTTTTCATATAGCAAGCATTGCATGCCATTTTTCTAAAGGAATGCCTGCATATCTTCGAAAAAATTAATTTCGCGTTGTAGTATACCAATATGATGGGGTCGAGAGGTTACTATATCATGATACTCTTGAATTACTCAAATATGTCAATAGCAGACAAGAAATAAGATACGTACATAATTTTTATATACGCTGCTACTTAGAATGAAGTTTAGAGTTTGTCAAATTATTTTAGCACGGGAAACTTAGTTGCTTTACTTAATTTCAAAGAATTTATTTGTTATTTTCTTTTAATGTCGATACAATATCTCAAACAAAACAATATCGCAAAATTTATTATACATATATAATTAATTACTTACAGTCACACAATTTTCAATACGGAACACATTGTCAGTTGCACTGGGTATAATTAATATTGTGACCAAAGAATTTTAAAATTTCAGTTTGACTGAATGAATAGAAGGAAAATAATAATTCATCAATTGAATTACGTTCGAATTTCGACCAATAGACGAATATAAGGAAACTTAAAATATACTTAATAACTTGGCAAGCGAGCAGACGGTTCACCTGATGTGTATACCGCCGCCCATGGACATCTGCTACACCCGAGGGTTGCAGATGCGTTGACAACCTTTTGAAAATTTGGCTCCGGCCACCTCACTCACCAGACGAAACGCGAAGCATTTGTCATACTTCCACTTCACGCTGGTCTTCTGTGAGGTCGTGGTACTCACCCGGATGAGCCTGCTCATTCGTGCAACAGCCGAGGCTG